ACTATGCCTCGAACCGCTCGGTAGAGGTGGCAGGCGACGGTTTCCTACCTGACGTGAAGGACTAGACATTTAGGATTTCCAAGTGGAGTAAATTTTCATGTTGATTCGCCGTGTTTTGTCTGCCGAAATAAAGAAGAACACATTTCACGATGTTTATCTTCATCGCTAAGCTTCACTTGCACCTGGTCTAGTCACGTGACCTTTGTAAAATCCGCCAAAAAACAGCACATCCGCTAAAGTTTCATTGTATACTTTAGACACTTTACATAAAAAACAATGAGAGAAAATATACACATTTTAAAGCAGCTAAAACAAAGGTGGGCTGAGACAAAGTACCTTTACTCACTACAAAGAAACTAAAATTCGGAAAGATCCTAGGTACTTAGGAGATGCTAACAACAGGAGATTTCAGGAAATAAAAAATGTTATTTTTTTTACTATTTTCCCCTTTATTAGACATCGATTAGACATTATTTTAAAAAAAACTTGAAGAAAAAAAGATCTTGGCAAAGGAAGAAGTACTGTCGACAGCAGTCGAAACATCTCAACATCTCAAGTCGTCCAATCTATGCAGTTTTTATTTGATCGTTCAGCTTCAGCTCGACCCGTTTCGAGGCGGACAAGCCACTAGGATAGAAAAAGCGCCGTAAGACAGATGAAATGGTGGCAATGACGGAAATATTGGTGTGATTAAGACAAGCGCAAATACAAAAGGAAAAAACATGAGGGACAAAAGCTTCTTCCCGAAAATGAACGCCAGACGACTGGCTTTCCGCACCGATAGGGATTACTGTGCTAAGTCTGCTAAGGAGCAGGGCCTGTGTCTACGTCATAGGCCTGTTTCAAATGTCGTGCTACTGGCCGTGCTACTGCCTTCTAAGCTGGCTCGACGTAGATCGACTGCATCACGACACTAGCACGACTGGCCAGCTCGACTTGGTTTCAGACGTCGAATTTAATTCAGTTGAATAGAACGGCTGTTGCCGAAAACAAAACACAAAAATAAAGAAAAGGTTGGGCAAACTTTTAAATGTATTCTAATGTATTTATAATTTATGAATTGAGGCACGGCAGTAGCGCGACGTTTAAGACCAAGTCCAGCTACTGCCGTGTAGCCCTGGGCGGCGTATACTGCCATATATGGGCTATATATAGGTATGTGCCGCTGTAAAGGGTATGGTTTTCAAGCAGTTTACTCTAGGATAGCGTATATAAATCAGGGAGTTTGGGTCTAGAAGAGGGTATCATTTTCCATTTAAACTGATCAATTAGCTGAAGATTTTAGTCTAGACTAGGGAAATCGGGAATGCCACTCAAGAATATAAAAAAATCAAATCGGTTTTGTTTTGGCTAAACTGTGCTACTGACCCAATTGTTTCTGGAAAACAGCTACTCTAGGATCAGGATAGGGGGAGATTTGGGGAGTTTAGTCAAGGGTAGCAAAATTCACTTGAACTAGCTCTGGTATAGGCTAAGGGTTCCAGGGTCCCAGCGGCACATCTCCACCCAAAAAGGCCTAAAGTACCCCCTGGGCGTAGCACGGCAAAGCTTGCCGTGCCACGCGGCAGTAGCACGACTTGGTTTCAAACGTCGCGCTACTGTCGAGCTAAAGTCGAATTTAGTTCGGCACAGCTGTTTGAAACGGGCCTTAAGCGGTTTTTTGTTTTGGCATTTGTGGTTCTCAAATTAAGCAAAAGCATCCAACCAAACCGCCTGCTTCAAAGGCTATAAGATCGAGGGCCTCCACATTTCATTTTAGCGTTTATCAAAACCTGTTTGAAATGTAGTGAACAGCTTTCTTTGTTTGGTGTGAAATAAAAGACATAACTAATGATCCGTTGCCTAAAACAAACTGCTTTTAAGATAGCCGGTAGCAAGCGCTCAGTTAGTTCTTCAAATTAAACCCCGCTGGATTCGGACACGATCATTATTACGGGCAGTTTGTTTTGTCCCTGGGAAAAGAAAACCCCTACATTTTCCCTGAATTCAACCCGCTCTGAATACGGACACTTAACCCCCTCAGTCTCCGTATTAACGGGGTTTGACTTTTGGGCACAAGAAATTTGACCCTCAGTCTATGGACTATCCCCATGAACTACCCATATGGATTACCCTAAAATGGACTACACCACTGAAGTTTAGAGATTAGGGTTAGGAAACCAAGTGGATCAAGTTTCAGGTCAGTTTTCCCAGTATAATGACCCTAAATGGAAGTTGATTCACCAAGTTTCGTAACCCTAAACACTAACTTCAGCGCATAGTCCATTTTGGGTAATCCATTTGGGTAGTGCATGGGGATAGTCCATAGACTGGAGGTCAGATTTTTTCCCCACCACCACTCCCTTCCCATCACTTTCGGGGATGGACGTGGAATCATGATCGTGAATCATGAATAAGTTCAAACACCATAGAAAAAATCTGTAGTCCAAAAACTACTCGGTCTAGAACACAAGCTGTGGATTTTCTCAAGGTCAACCATCAACAGTCTTGAATGCAAACTTGTGTTAGTATTATTCTTGGTCAGAGAGCAATGGCTACAGCGTGACACACATTAGTTGTAGTCATTCCTTAGAGTGCCAAACCTCAAAGTTAAAGAAAATTTTTAAATCACAAAAAACACCTATAACCAAAGTAAAATGCTTAATAAGTTGTACTTAAATGCTCACACTGCTGACAAAATCAACAATCAAAACAACATTTCACTGCCATATTTTATTAGTACTGTTTCAGGAGTTTAAGGTTTCAAGTCCAATTTATTACACTACATAAACTTGATTTTCCTTAACAGTATTAGTATAAGTCATTAAGAGAGCATTTATCACTTATGCATTGCCCATAATACACTTGCTAAGGCCCCACAATTTTGCCAAAGTATTGTTTTTGCTTTCTCTTGGGATGACGACTGTTACAAACTGGAGAAATGGAAAGCAATACTTAGGCAAAATTTTGAGGAGGAAACAAGGTGTCTTATTGGTAATTAATCAGTGGCAAATGTGTGAAAATTGTCACCCATAAGGAGCATAGACTGCTTGCAGTCTGCCTTTTTTCTTAAAATCCGTCTAGTTCTCAGCTAGCGCAAATGCAAACCACGACATTATGTTACAATAAGGGATTAGGACCAGATGAGAAAAGATGGACTGCGGACTCTTTTGTTGCAAACAAACTCTCCATCAGCCCAGAAACAGAGTAGCCGATTGGTCAGTTTTACAGCTGTTGACAGATCATTGACTGGTCTGTGGTGGAGATGCAAGCCATAAAAATAGTCATGCATCACAACTAACTACGAACAATTATGAACCTAGCGGTAACTGCTTGTTATCTACAACGTTTAAGGATATCTTACAGAAGGAAACTGCTGTAAATTTCCTCAAGGGAAAGGAATTCTACAAGAATTCAAGGCAATCTTACCGGATTTAAAAAAAACTAAAATTTTTCCGTTGTTTATGTTCTATAAATCGTTTCAAGTTAATCGGGTTTACCAGTTATTGGTTAATTAAAATAATTACCTTGAAAGCTTTGTTGTCCCCAGACAGAACAAAAGAGTCAGCAGTCTCTTATTTTTTCTTCTCGGGCTTACGCCCTCATTTATCGCGGCTCGCATGCTTGGTTTTCTCTTGCAGTAACTTTGCAAAGAAAAATAAGAGACTGCTCGCAGTCTATAAGGAGCACCAACTCCTTTCCCTCACTTCTTAGGTGGCAATTTTCACACACGCTTGTGTATATGTATAATGCCTGCTCTTCTATTGCCAAGTAAAATAAGAACTTTTCATAGTCTACCTCAATCATTATTAGCTCACTTTTCCACTGTTTTGAAAAGTTTAATATTTTCAATAAACCAGGAAAGATCACTGAGGTGGAACAGGGCACCCTTATTAAAAATAACAACCTTCAGTTTAATTCCTCCTTTAGTGAACACAATGACAATGAAATGGTACGTGATATGCACTTAGTCATTATTTTTGAGACTATCAGCCAAGGAGCTTAGGCGTTATTCCGTACAGTAATATCATGATGATGTCCAAATAACCATGATATGGAAGCACATGCACAGGTCTTAAGAGGGAACAGAGGTTACGTGAAACAAAAGCAAACTTACTGACTGTGGTGACATTTCAGAGCTAAGTTTTAATTCAAATGTGCTTATAATCACAAATAAGCTAAATTCTTTAGGCAACTTCAAACTTATGCATTTTGAGATTTCAGTTGATCAGGATGTAATTGATACAAAAAGAAGCATACTTTAGATATCAATTTCTCCATCAAAGAGGTGTAACAAGTAAAATAATATTATTTCAAACTGTATCTAAAGCTTATCTTAATTATTATTTGTCAACCACTCATCTGCAAGAAGACAAAGCAAACTATCAGCACATCCAAGTGTGAGAGGGGGCAAAGTGAAGGAAATCCTATGTTCTGATTCATTATGCTTACTTGGGATTGCATGTTTTTTTTGTCACAAAAAACAATATTTAATTTAGTTTCTTTTGGCCATCGAAAAAACTGCTTCTTTTAATACTGCTTTCCTGTTTACTTATAGCATACAAAAAGAACACAGCAAAATAATATCCTTCCATCTTAACCAACGAATTGCATAGTCAATAAGAAATATGTACCGTCTTTACAGGTTTTTTTCTTGGTTCACATTTTGAACACTTTCAATCATTATTCTTATGACTGGAAATAATATTTTAACAAAGAAAGGGTGTATGGAATAAGGCCTTAAGTGACTCCTGATCTTAAGTCAAAATTCTCCTTGATTCACATTCATATAAAAAAGCTAAACAAAAACTTTGAGAATTTAGCAGTTTATCAGAAGTCACTTCAAGCAAGCTTCATTCCAGAAACCCCACAGACATTTCCACTGGAGGGGCTGAAGAACAGCCAACACCAGTGATCCAAATAAATCAACCTGCATTAATAACATCTAAGTTTGAGTAAAACTGGCAAACTAAATAAAGTTTGTTTGCAAGCTTACCTAATTCAGATAAAGAGCTTTCACATCAGGCAAGTGGTTCAAACATATAAGGCTGAACACCAAGTTCTTGGTCATAAAGATCATCATAATCATCATAATATTCATCATCATAATCGTCATATTCATCAAAATCATCATTATCATCAGAATCATAATAGTCGTCATAATCATCATAATCTTCATCATCAACATCCAATACACAAAAACCTCTTTCTGGCTTACGATCATCACCAGGGAAAATATAACTTCGCCAAACAAACTGCAACCTGGTTATGCCGGCCTCACCTTGTGACATTACAACTGCACCAGAAACTCCAGCAAGGTATCCATACGAACCTGGAGGTGTCTCTGAACGAAGACCACCACCACTGCCACCATATGGACCATAGCTTTTAGGATTGCCGTCTTCGTCTTTCTTGTTAGTGTAAAATGTGAGCTTATCAATCATCCAGCCAGAATTCACATCAACTTTCACAATCCTTTCATTTTCCTCCAGATGAAATTCATGATGTTCATGGTGTTCCTGAGCTGTGCTGTTGTAAATACCACCACAACCATCCCCAAATATTGTTGTCTTGTCAGTACCATAACAAACCTTTAGGCCGCCAAGAACAGGTCGTCCATCCCAATGTCTAATCCAGAGTTCCATGCCTGTGACGCAGCACTCATTTTCCAAATTTTCAAGCCTGTCTTTGTCTGAGTGTTGGGCAATTTCTGGTTGAACCTGCCGTCCATTAGCAAAAGCACGTCCCCATTTTAAAATGCGTTCTGCAAATTTTCTTGGGATTGCCCATCTTTCATCGGGTGAGTCTTTCACAGGGGGATCCTTTTTCAGCGTTTGGGCCTTTTTTAGAATTTCATCACAAGAGCCAACTAGAAGATCATGGGTAGCGAGTTCCAACAGATATTCATCTGACAAAGTTGGAAGCCTCACAAGGGATGATAACAATTCGGGAAGATGTGCCTTTCTTTCTTCTTCATGGTGTTTGATGTACCGAAAAACCGCTTGCAACACGACTTTTTCCCTCTCTTCTGCACGTGGAATTAAATCTTCAGTCACCACACAAAGTTCCTCTTCCGCAAGCAGATCAGATAAGAAATTGAAAGGAAGACACAAGAATTCCTCTTCCTCACAAACATTTGTGAAATGCCGCAGGCAGTGCTGTTTGGCCACTTTGACGAGTTCTTCCAACGCGTAGAAATCAGCCAAACGCCAGATACTGAGGCAAGTTTTATCATCAATGCCACCTTTCAGGAAGTCTCCGCAAGATTTTTTGACAAACTCGACCCTCAAATAATTTGCTGCTTCCAGCAAAGTTTGCACGTTTCCAGTGTTGATGGTGATATTTCCAGAATATGCGAATTCTATCACGTCACTAACAGCACGTTCATCTAGGCCTGGTATTTCTACCTCATCTTTGTTTCCTTCTCTCCAGTTGGCACCAAGAAGAGCTTCAAAATAGGGACTGAAAGATGCCAACACAGCACGGTGGGCTCGTATCGCTCGCTCGTTACCAATTTTCAGGCTGACATCGCTGTATCTGCCATCCTTGTACATGGCTAAAAGCCCCTTCAGGATATGAGAGCCATGGTCTTTATCATTTGCGTTTAACGTTTCCATAGTATTAGAGAAAGACCTCTCTAGCACAGCCGGCTTTTCCATACCTTTCGCCATTTTCAGTTTCTCTGCCGGCGCTGTTCCACGTGATCAATGTGGAGAGTTTTGATTGGCAATTGATATTTCAGCAGAAAAAGATCGCGACCTCTCACGTTGCCCACGATACACCTTTTCCCGGCCCTCGTCCCTACCTCTTCCCTCGAGTCCTAAGAGAAAGGCGTATTTCCGCTTGAAGAACACGCTCCAAGAACCATGAAAGATATTAGAGAGGTTAAACTTCATGTTTACGTCAAATTGTACCACGTGACCAAGTTTCTCGTTTTCGGTTCATTATTTCTACGCACAAATTAGTAGTTTTACGCAATTTTTTATCCACAAGAATTGTTGAACAGTTTTATCTGCTTATTTACTATTTTGAGAAATTCTCAACGTGAATCTGACGTTTGCCGTTTGCCGTATACGTGAAGGTTTTCTCACCTAGTTACCCGCGTGAGAAAGATTTCGGAGACGGGCTAGAGGAAATCTACCCTTTGAACAAAATTTAAAAAAAAAAAGCACTGAGACCAGGGGGCACGCCTTCGAACCATGACCCAAAAAGAGATTTCTAAGCCTGCGAGAGTGAGCATACAAACCTAAACCTCACGTTATTCATGAAAACTGAAGGACACTGGTTGCGGCCGCACTTAGCAACTAACCGGGCAGGAGCCGATTACTCAACGGGTTAGTTACTTTTATCACCGGCCGGACCAGGAGCCTATAATTATAACCTATATTTAGCCGAAGTACTCTAAAATGTGTCTAAAAATAAACTGGTCTGTAAAAACCCCGTGACATAGGCCTAGTATGATAGTTGCTTGCTCCGGGAGGGACCGTGGGGGACTAAATTCAGTTTCCGAAAGTGGCGCGAGCGCCTGCGCGAGGTTTTGTTTTTTTACTCTCTTGGGTCGTTCATAAAGCTCGCCTGAGAGTGACTGACTGACAAAATTTGACCCCGTATTACTGATAAAAAGAGGTCGACTTCTTTAAAATTTTTAACTCAATTGTGTTTATAAGAAAGAAAAGCTGAACTTGGGGCGAAAGAAGTAATTTTCGACCTATTGTGCTTTCGTGCGTGGTAAAACCAAAATTTGGAACATTCTCACTAATCTCGTTCCCAGAGGCCGCGATCCTTTTGGTCAGCGGCGGAGAAAGGATCATTGCAATCTTAGTCGTGGGCGATAGCCTGCGATGCTCTCGCAGGCCATGACTGAACGTTAACCTGCGTTAAACTACCTCGTGAGGTGGTTTTAAAAAACCTATCCTGGTTAAGAAAATCTATTTCCTGTTGTTCTTGCTTGATTTGCCTAACCGTACCCTGTATTTAAACAAATTGCGCTAAAAGAAATATATATGTAAATAAATACTTGTATTCTGGGTAGAATGTATTTCGTAGAGCGCTCAATTCATTTAATTGAAGAGCATTGACTATTAATAATCACAGGAGTTCAGTTCAGGCGTAATCATTGATCGTTTATTGCGACACTGTGAGTGTTGTATATATATATGTATATGTATTATATATATATTTTTTTGTTGTTGTTGTTGTTGTTTACTTCTTCATCTTCTTGCTGTAAGGATCAGTTTGTCGTTTCATATTTTTCTACAAGTTTTATTGTACTGATCCAGGTCTACAACTGGGAGATACGGCACCACTCATTGGTTTGTTGTTGTGGACTTGCTGATATTTTATACACTGTAGACAACCCAGTCGCACTCAAAGATAATCAGTTAACTTTAACTAGTTAATTGGAAATAACTCGTTTAAGTCCCCTAGTGCGGCTGCAGCCACTGCCACTTCCTTTTGAGCTGTGAAAAGTCAGTATGTTTCCTGTATGTAGTGCTTACCACCAACTACCCGTCCCTTCTGGTCACTTTTGAGTCAACCCCCATTTTAGCCATAAGAGAGAGACTGGTGAAGGGTGTAATCCCTAAAATCAAAATGGCGGGCACGGTGTCGGGCACGGTAGAGGGGCCCACGGTAGATAAACCTTTGCAATTGAGGATGCCTTTTCCAGATTCTTGTCAAAGTCTGTGCTTCAGAGACAAGGACCATGGCTCCAGTATGTTTGAGAGACTTTTCGCCATGTACAAAGATAGTAAGTATAGCGACGTCAGTCTCAAAATCAGCCATGAACATACCATCCAAGCTCATCGTGTTGTCCTTGCGTCGTTTAGCCCGTATTTTGAAGCCCTACTTGGCGGCAAATGGAAAGAGGGAAGCAAGAATGAAATTGAATTATTAGGATTAAACGAAATTGCCGTTAACAATTTGATAGAATTCGCTTATTCTGGAACTATTGAGATCAACAAGGACAACGTGCAAACTGTGTTGGAGGCGGCAAATTATTTGGGGGTTGAATTTGTGAAGAAATCATGCGGAGATTTCTTGAAAGTTGCTGTCGATGACAAAACATGTTTAGGTCTTTGGCAGTTGGCAGACGTGTTTGCTTTGGAAGAACTCAGCAACGTAGCTAAAAGATACGTTTTGAGGCATTTCGCAGATATTTCCCACGAAGAGGCATTCCTTTTGCTTCCTTTCAATCTTTTGACTGACCTGCTTGCAGATGATGGCCTTTGTATAGTTATTGAAGATTTGGTTCCGTGTGAAGAAGAGAGAGAAAAGATAGTGTTGCAAGCAGTTCTGAGATACATTGAACATGACTTGGACAGCCGGAAAGAACTTCTCCCACAATTGCTTTCTCTCGTTAAACTCCCTACTTTATCAGAGCAGTATCTCAAAGAAGTCACCGAAATAGAGCTTGTAGCTGATTCTTGTGTGGGCAAAGAGATGCTAGATAAGGCCCAGAAACTAAAAATGGAGTGGGAAGATTTAAAAGCTGAGGCAAATTGGCCTTATAAGCAAATTGATCCTCCTGATAAATGGGTATTGCCCAGGGATTTTGCCAAATACGTTGTCATATGGGGGCGCTCCTATGCAAATGGTGGGCATATACCAGATCACAAACATTATGCTGATGAATATTCATTTGAAGATTTAGAAAACAACTGCTTTGTGAATGGGATGGAACTATGGTTTCGACGGTGGAATGGGGACTTGGTGTTAGGAGGTCTTAGGTTTTTTTATAAATTGTACGATGAGGACACTGCAATGACATTTGGCTACACAAGTGAGGAAGCTGAGGAACATCATAAATTTCATTTGGAGGAAAATGAGAGAATTGTCAGAGTTGAAGTCTCTTCTGGCTTGATGATTAATCAGCTCACTTTTTTCACCAACAAGAAAGATGATGAGGGTTACCCCAAAATGTATGGTCCCTATGGAGAAGATATTGGATTGTTTACTGTGGAGTATCCTTCTGGAAATTTTGGATATCTTGCAGGAGTTGTTGGTGCAGTCGCAAATCGCAGTAGAGGCAAGCCTGGAGTCATACTTAGACTACAGTTTGCTTGGAGAAGCTATATTTTCCCTGGAACTCCAATGCCAGAGAAACATTATTGCCGAATTAGTGAAAATGTCAGAGAAGATGACTATGACAGTGATGCTGATTTAGATGGTTTTGATGATTATGATGCTTTAACTATTTTTGATTTTTATGATGGCTTTCAAGATTAAGTGATTTAACATTGAGTTTAACATGGTAAATTAAACCAACAGCCTGTTTTGCGTGAGCCAGAAACTCTGTGCAGGTTTAGTACAAACCAACTAGCATGCACTATCACGAACTTGTGATCTGATTGACTAATGCACTCACTGTCTTTTGCAAGATTGATTGTGAGCAGCAAGTTGGCATTGTGAGCAGAAACAAATACAATTGGAACCTGTTTAACATATGATTTTCGCTATGTTTCTGAGGAAGATTCATCCTTGGAGACCCAGGGGCAGTCAGTTGGGTCAGGAATAATGGCGGCGAAAGTTTTCAAGAATGGGGAAGAGAGTCCCTGGGATGCTACTCTTAACAAACCAGTTCCACGACTCATTCGAATGTTTGTCCGTGATTGATTTTTTGTGCCTTATCAGAGGCCAGCATCTATCATACTGCTTTCGTGATCTTCTTATATGAAGGAGTTTGCCGGCAAACTTGACTTTTGGCCGTAATGTTAGGTTCGTGCAGGAGAGCTTTCTTTATTGTTTTTGGAGAAGAGTTTTCAGTGAAAATAGGCCCTAAAAACCAAATAAATTCCATAATTGGTAAAATTTCTGAATAAACTCATACATTTATTATGCATGCAGCAATTTCATACTATTGACACAAATAGTTGATATGAATAGAGTGGAAACATGCACGCATAACAAACGTATGGTACTCCCTAATGTAAGCTAAAAAGGTATGTGCCGCCCCATCAGGTGAGTTTTTGCGCCGTTTTGGTCTGAAAGCGGGTGTACTCTTTGCCTATTTTGGTCTGGAATCGGGTATGGTTTTTTCAGGGAACTACGGCATCTACTGGAGTGTATGAAGGTATTTATCGTTAGTAAGAAAGAAAGAGAAATATGCGAATTCGAAATGGATTTGACGAATTTTTTTGGTTTGCGGGGAGGGGGGGGGTAAGTTTGTATGTGTTTGCAACTGTGGTGTAACCTCAATCGTCTTTTCCGGAAAATCTGGGGAAAAAAGGGGCATTTCCTTGCACGTTTTCCCCAACGGAATGCGGCATTTTGAAAACACGCCCATCTATAGTGAATTCCGAAAATTCATTTTACACTTATTTGTTTGTCTCCCACGAGTTTTTTTTGCTGGCTGAAAACAGGAAAAATAAGAGGTACTGGAGCGAGTTGTCCAAAATCTTATGATGGCAGACGTTACTGTCAACGCCTGAAGTTAATATGATAAACACCGGTACCCTTTGAAATACTGTTTATAAGTTATGACAGGCTTACAGGAGGGTACTCCGGATTTTAAGTGACAAGGATGATCGAAGGATTTTTTTGGCTTTGAAATTTTCCATTTCGGGATTTTTTGGGGTGAGAAAATTTTTGTAATTATTTTTTGGGGGTAGCTTTTTGGGTATTCAAACTGATGTTTCCATTTTTTGTCTTTTTTTAATGCTTTCTGGAAATTTTTATGGCTCGGAAATTCGGCATGGGACTTTTTTGGGGTGAAATTTTGTCCAGGGATTTTTGGGGTGGTTTTGTTTGAAGCCCAAGGGATTTTTTTGGGTTTTGATTTTTGCCCCCATTCGATCATCCCTGTGGAGTACCCCCATGGGGTGCTGGTTCAATGAGTCAGTAGCCCACGTTAGCCTATCAGACTGTTTTACCCAAAAGACACTATGATAAGCCATCTTTTTAACGCTTAGTTTATTACGTGTCCTGTACGTGTATATTAAATGAATTCTCTCTCAATACAGCGGCCGGCCTGGGACTCAGTAATCCCTTCATCTGTACGTACTGTCGCGTACTGATCTGTAATTCTGTACGTACTATCGTCGACAAAGAATTTAAGAAGATCTAAAAATGTCAGTATCAGGCGCACAGAAAGTTCGAGCTATTCAATAACTACAGTGGAACCTCGCCTTACGGCCACCTCGTTATTACGGCCACTTTTTTGGGGTCGTCTGGCAAAAACTGCCATATATTTTCTTGTAAGCGCGGTACCCGCAGCCAAAGCCAGTAGAAAGCAATTCATGTGATTAAGCTACCTTTCCACTCTTTGTGGTTGAGAAAGTTTAAAAAATGCTAAAAGCAAAGAAAATTGCATCGATCATTTTAAAAATGACTCTAATTAATTTTTTGTTTGTTTATATTGACAGGACAGACCACTTACTAGCTTTTAACACAAATGCTGATGGTGTACCAGTATGACGCCCTTTCCCATCTAGTTTTCTGTCATTTTTTGACCTTATCAAAGGTCATCACGTCGCCAAAGATGCAATTTATCATCACGCACGCAGTTAGCTTTCGTCATTATTGTAATTACTCGATAAAAAGATAGTTGTTTATGATGGAAAACCGGCGCGTCGACCCTGCTTCCTTCGGAAGAGTGTCTCAACGGAAATACGTTCAAGTAAAGTTCTAAAAGCTTCATTTAATGGAGCGAAAATCGAGTGTAGACCTTAATTTGAAATGATTCGTTTTCTCTATCAAGCCCTTATGAAACTGAGATTTTGTACATTCTGGTACTAATTTCAACATTTGCTTTAGGGGCGGGGTGCTAATTGGCTTTACCCCAGGAGTTTCCTGTTGTCCCTAAATAGCTCTAGCCAAATGACATGAATCTTTTGCATGTAAAAAGGAAGTTGTAAATGATTACCTGTTAATATCTCCGCCATTATATAAAACACTCCATTTTAAAACGGCTTTAAAGCACGGAGACAACATTCACTGAGGTATTTTGGTAGAGAGGAAGAAGTCAAGCGGGGATAAACTCTAAACAACGTCAAAACATGCATATTAGTAGAAAAGGTACATGTGTACTGGGATGCGGAGAAAATATTTACCGCCAGAAGAATTTCAAGTCTTTAGAGAGCAATTACAGGGCCGGGCATACCAGACACCGAGTACAACAAGCAAGAACGCTTTTCATCGACAACACTTGGAAACGATTCAGACACTGTATTACCAAGGTGTTTTGCAAGCACAAAGAAGAAAAAGATCATGTCCCTTATGCTAGCTTGACTCGTTTAGACAGGTTGTCTATCGGCGAGGACGAACTCAAACGCGCCCAGAAAAAAGTGCGTTTTTGTTCGAGGCGAAAATGCTCAATTGATAACGAACTGAGTGTCGAATGTGAGGATGAACTCGACCGCCATTTTGATACAGTTTTACGGGAAAGAGCCTCAAGAAGTCGTAGCTATACGACAAGACGAATGGCGATTTGTAGAGAGCTTGAGAGAAACACAGAAGGAAACAACGGTGTTTCTCTTTTTGAACTCCGAAAGACGCTGATCATAAATAACAGATTCAAAGAGATGGGAATGTGACTGTATTGCTCTTTGTCAGCCATCATGTCTCACATACGTCAACGCGTTTCTCGTCTTATAAGGGGAACCACATTATTGACAACCGATCTGGGATGTCTGATGATAAAAAAACTATAACTGATGTACATATACGGCAGTGGTATTGTAAAGAGGAGATGCCTATTTTTTGGGCGGGTATGATAATAATTCAAAAATGTGATTGTTCTAATTTATTATGATATTTATAATAAAACTAAAAAGAGATTACAACAAGGACAAAAAAGAAGATCATGCAGCCTTGGTTTAAAGAAATTCTTTTGTGCAAATTTAGTGATCATATAGTGACATTTTGTACAAAAAAACGTAGAAAAAACTTAGCAGACTCTAACTGTTGTTTAGTAATAATGGTTGGGTTAGTCCCAAAGAGAAACTTCGGGAGGGTCAGTTCGACGTCGGCCAATTTTATATATACCCAAATATTGTCAGCATTAATTCCGGGACCACCGATTGTCGAGACAATTCTCGTGGGCGAACAGTAAGTTGCAGCTACACGCAATATTCCAATCATCAACAGACTACCGGCACCAGTTTCATCGCAAGCTTGCGAATGGACAATTTGCGGCCTAGGCATACAGCCGCCCCTCACTTCAAACAAAATCGGTGAGGCCAATGGACGAAAAATCAGGAATTTCTACTGAACTGGATGTTCAATTATTTCAAATTCAGGGGTGAATTTGCTTTTCTTTACCACTCGCGTCGTTGTGGTCGTTACTTGCCTACAAATAAAACCTTTCTGAAGTTATTTTGTACTCAGTTTCCATGTAAAATCCAATGTTAATTGTCTGTTTGTGTGTGGTCAGGAATTCACAAAACCCAAGTTATTTATTGCTGATGAGTCATCAGTGAATATTTCAATTCGAGGGAATTCTGTTTACGTGAGTTATTTGTAACAGACATGCTAGATTTTGGTATGTGACGTCGGAGGGGGCAATCGAATAGGTCAGTCTGAAAGACAAGCAGAGTAGCGAACCTCTTTCCTCAAACCATACATGCTAACCTGTCCCTTTGTTAAAAAAATAAAGTTATTCAGTACAGTTTCCTCTCGCCGAGGAGGCGTTTGAGAACGTGCCCTCCTTCCCAACGTATTACTTTTCGCCCTCACCGTCACTATAAACTGAAATACGTGCCTTTAAAAACTAAGTTCAAGGAGAGATCGTGCTGGCACTTAAATGATTGCCTTTTGCGGTCAAACCGCGGTTTTGGATTCACCATGACGATGATGGGAGTGTATTCTTTGATGATTTGGTTACAAAAATAATTTGTCTCTTTATATGACATTAAAAACCGCCCTTTGATTGATCTTGCGTCTGCCAAGACTACAACAGCTACATAGCATGGGACTGAGGCTCCGCTGTGGGGAAAAAATGGCAAAAAACGGATGAGATAGCATGTTCCAGACTGCGAGATAGTGGTGAAAAGTCGCGCGCGTCTTATTTTCGCTTTGCTCGTTTTAATACGTCTGCATTATACTATCTGACAGCCTGGCACAGGCTAGGAGTGAGACGGCATAAACAATCGGCGAGCGAAGCCAGCCGAGCGGTAGGCTGGGGGGCCGAAAGGGCAGCGGACCTTCCGCCATCATTTCCCCTCCGCAGACTACCAACCGGATCGCTTCGCTCGCCGATTTGTTGTTGTTGTTTTTTTTTTGCGCCTTTTACCTAGACTTTCAAAAGAGTCCTTCGTCAGATTATAGTGTCGGGTGTTATTTGCTTCCTACGGTAATTGATGAGGGAACATTTCTCTCTATGGCTCCGGCTGGAGCCTATCAGAGTTTAACCGTGCGAGATTTAACCTTTGCAACTAAGCCAACTTTCCTATTTTCCTGGCGGGGGATGGGGGAGGGGAGAGGGGGGTTGTTCACTTTACAAGCTTCGGGACTGACCGGGGAAAAACTGAAGCGCGCGCGAGAAGGTAACCTGATCATGGAAGGGTAGAGAGACGTCAGGCAATTCATTTCATTTTATTGAAACTCATGATATTTGCCTTATTTGGCTTTCATCACAAGACAGGGCACGAAAGGCGACCATCTCTTGGACAAGGATACCTCAAATGCCTGTCCGCCAGCTCTTTTGTTATCTTTTCAGGTCGTTTCCGTCAAGTATTTCATGCCATTCGGTTGGAACTTGGGTTGTGTTGGTATAATCCACCAACTTTTAGATACTGTAATAATTGTATGAATTCCTGATAATTGATCGGGAGTTTAAAAAATGTCAAGACAATTTACAGAAAAGGATTTCGAATCATTGCATCAAGCCAACCCTTCCGGTTTCTCATTCAACAACAGCACACTGGCTATAAGACACCTTCATGAAAAGCGAGCGGATGGGATGGGTATACGAAAATTTGAAAAAATGACCGGGAAAACGACATGAAACAAGTTTCTTTCAGCAATCCAGGCCAAGTTATGGCCCAAAAGTTGTTCTAAAAGTGAGTGTTTGAAGTCTCTAATGGGAGGACTTCGATATGGAGGGGTGGGAAAGATTGTCGTCTCGGTTTTGGATTGTAAATCGCATATTCAACATGTAGAGTCTAATGATCAGGACGAATTTTAACAAACAGTTATCATAGCCAGAATGTGTGTCAAGAATCAAGGAAAATAGAAGACGGAAAGAAGAGATACGAAAGCATTCAATGACATCTTCTTTATCGCCGTTGAAATTATCATAGCTATTATCCAGCTGTCAGTTTTAATTGTAAGCTGAGCCACACCCAGCTTAGTCTCCTTTAGAGGTTTAATCCAAGATTCCGAGGGGCAGCCCCGTTCATTTCACATGGGAGGTTTCCGGGAATTCTCAGTCCGATATCCGGCAACCAGCAAAAGAAAACAGCTGTGTGTAGCTAATCGAGCCATGGCAACAGAGCCGTGATTCAGACTTTACAGTTGTAACGTTCTCTATCTTGTCACTCGCAATTTAACAAGAGACCTGGTAAACAGAGACCTCTGAAAGCCATCCCAGTCATGCCAAACTGCTGAATATCAGGGGCACCCAGCGACTGTTTTCTGTAAAATATCTGTTCGGAGAAGCAAATATTGCCTGAAATTTTCTATTTCTTGAGGAAGACTAAAAACTTCCGGATGAACGTTCCATTCACGTACAAATTTCAAAGCTTATCTGATAAATTCCCTATACGAATTTCTGAAACTAATTCGTCACATTTCACTGCCCAGGTTAGGCTATTTATTGTACAAAAAAGGAAATTTCAAATTTTCGGATTAAAAAATGTGATGGAGGGAGGAATCAGAAAAATTCTCACTTTCGTAATACGTTAAATGTCACCTAAAATTTTAGGGAAAAGAGTACTGAAGCCTTCGTAATTTCGAAGACTCAAGTTCCCATAGGATGACCGAACAGGTACAAATTTTATACCGCCGGTCAGAAAGCCATTTCTAGAGATCTAACAGTACATGTACACTGGATAGCCTAATAAGTGTTTTCAATGTATTTACGAGGAAACTGTTGTTGGGTTCCCCTGTGAATATTTCGGTTAACAATGATCAGATCATGGCTACACCGACATTTCCTTGTCAAGTTGTGCTCCGGTAAGAATTGCCTCCAATGCCAGATTTTGAGTGAAAAAAGCAGCTTTCTACATGTATGGCATGGAAGAATTACGACCACTTGATTCAGTCGGCCAGGGTTTTTTTACCAATTCGTTTGTTAGAAAAATCAGACATTTCATACATTCGAGAACTTGCTATTTCCGTCTACTTTGGTGTTTGGGAAGGGTGCTGTAAAATAGGTATAAGCAGTATCTAATTACAGAGACAACGGAAAAAAGTCCTCGAAAGTAGATACGTTGTATACACACCCGATTACATAACACGTTCGAGGCCTCCAAGCTGAGGAATCTATGGCCCATTTACAAAGTACGCGTCGGATCATTCCATAAAAATAAGCTCCAAAGAAAAAAAGCGACTTCCATAAGTAACTTTACAGAGCAAATAAATGCCTACTTACTGCATGCAAAGATCTTCACCTTAACCCTATTTTTTAATACAAAAACGTTCGAAAGCAAGACGACAACAGTGTAGCATTTTAAAAAAGTTTATTTTAACGTAGTGCAGACCTGGCTCAACATCTGGGACGTACAGAAAAAAAGTACACTGGGAATACATGTCCACACAAGATCATTAAAAAACTCACCGATTATGGAAGTTTACAAGATCACAGGAGGCAAGAACGCACGCTTGTGAACTGAGGTTTCCCCGTGTACGAAAAGCCAAACTACTAAATAAAAACATCCTTTGCTTACAACCACTAAGAATGAAATGACGTAAATGGATCATACATTTATTAGGGAATAAACAGATAAAGCTTCCAAAACTAAAATGAAACAAAAAAGTTTCTAAATAAACAAATAAGTTCATTGTGCAGTAAAGTGTGAATCCTGAATGGTCCCTTTTGGGCATAAGTGTTTCTTCTCACATCCTTCCATCATACTCACTTCTTCCAGATGAGCGTTTTTTACTATCAACCTGATGGTCTCTTTTCTGAGCTGACGACTTTGATGCATTTTTCTTCATAGGAAGGACCAAAGAGTTCAGTTTGTAGTAATCCAGGAAGGTTCTGGCCACGTTACGTCCCAATTTAAAGTAACCTTCCTCTGTGTAAGGCGACATTCCCTGTGAAACTGCTGTGTTGTAGCTGAAGAAGGATACCTCCAGTGTATAGCAGTGTGTCTTCGGATCAAGGCAACTTCCAAGAAAACGGCGTCCTGTGCCAGCTTTCACAGCATCCTTGTTGAATGACGTATTTGACATTGAAAAGTCTTCAGCATTTGCACAGAGAAGTCTTGGATACACGGCCTGCCTCTCAAATCGCTCTTCCTCGTCATAAATATTGCCATACATAAATCCATTCATCATGGTGGAATGTGCGTGAATATCAATGTAAAAATCAAGATGGACATTTTCATCGCCGTCAAGTTCCATTAAATGGTTCTTGCAAGCCACCAGAGTTGGATGTGCCCATGGTGAAGGTTCTTGCCAATGGCGATTGAGATCAAAACCCATCAAAGAGCATCGGTAATTTCCAAGTACAACTCCATCTGGATTAAGCATTGGTACCACTTTGAAAACCAGATAATCTCGTAGGACTCTCGCAACTGGGTGGGTACTGACTAGAAAGTCAATCACTCCTTGACAAACGTATGAAGATGGAGTTTCACCTGAAAAGAGTCAAGATGCTGAGTAACAAATCGTAAGGAAAGAGTATTAAAGGGGAAGACCTAGACAGTGACAGTGCTTCGAACACCCTGGCTGCATCCTGGATGTGAGAGTGAAAACCAGTAACTGCACAGCAGCTTTTGCCAGAAGTTAACAGCCTCAGAAATGCTTTCCTGTGAAGCACGGCTCTAATGTACCACTGAGCTATCTGCCACTCAGTCTCCAGTAATTCCTGGGGTACTGTTCTGATATGAGAACAGGAGTCGCCATGCTATTTACTGCTGGCGTCCATGCAAAATTGACTTGAGTTCAAATATGCAGGCACACCACAGGCATCCTAAACTCAACATGTGAGTGAGTGCATGTTAAAAATTAATACATCAACTGCGTTATTGTGTAACGTAGGGTTTCATAGGGTGTATATGGGAAAAGTAAAATAAGAAAAAAAATTGCCTTATCTTAGCTTATCGTGTAGCAAAAAATTAAAAGAAACTTAATTTACATAATTATTAATTTTTGTGTTCCTGTGTCGTTTTGAAGTGTTTTGGGCTGGTTTGCTACACTGCATTAACCTTCATAATAAGGTCTAACAGAAGTTTAAGACAGGATAGCCAGCACAAAACGCTTCAAAACGACACAGGAATACAAAATACAGCAAAAGTAAGGTTCTTTTAATAATAATCCTTTGCTACACAATAACTGAAGATAAGGCAATATTAATTTTTTCTATTTTTCCCATATACACCCCATAACTTGACACTACATTACACAATATTAGTTGATGTATTAATTTTTAACAAGCCCTCACATTTTGGCCGCTGGTATTAAACTCTGGCAATGATTCCTGTTGCTAGTGGGGTACGTTCTCAACTGTTGAAGCTGTATCCCAGGCAGTACTGCCAATTATGTCACAGGTAGGTGGGCAGCATATGAGAACAATGCTTAAACTTTCCCACCCTCTCAACAATTTTTCTTGGCCTCCTTTGCTCTCCTTGCCCCAACTGGAAGGGCTGTTCACTGGTGTAGAATTTGTACATTGACAGTCACTTATGTCTTTATTATCCTTGAGACTCATGGCTCTATTCTTGATTATCACAACCCCAAACTAGAGTTGTTTGTCCTTTGAGAAGCAAAAATCCAGTTTTAAGGATCGAGTTGAGACTGTCAACGCACATTTGAGGAGTACTGTCTGTAATAACTGTAACATTCTTTTTTGGGGGATAATATGAAAGTCGGCAGACCTTCTGTCACCCTCTAATTAAGGTATCTGTCAACAGTTGTGTAATCTTGTCAGATTTCTCTGGAAATTCAAACGGTTTGTAATGGAAGTCTAAACGGCCGCAAATTGATATGTATTAAGGCAAGCAGTGAATGCCGAGTTGATGCTGTAGTCGTATAAACGAAATAATCACAAATTTTAAAGACAAATTTAGCTCTGTTGTTACTGCAAATGCCACCTAACCGTTGCTATGTGGTACCTTTGTTCAAACCGTCAAGTCAAACATCAAATAATTCAATGAAAACAAGAGTGGAAAAACAGATGATCCTTTATTTTACTGACAATGGTCAAAAGTGTAGGAATCAATTCTGTGGCAACAAATCTTTCATGGTCTTATCCGTTTGCAAAAGTGCGGCTGTAAAATCATCTACTGTTTTACACAGTTCCACGAAGTTGAAGTTGACGAGACAATGCTCCTCAAATAATTCTGCCCTGTGGTCAAAGCGAGAAAGCATCGAAGAAGAAACAATGGGTGTCCTTACTGATGACAAATAACCACTTGCCCCCATCGGCTGTCAAGGTGTTTCCCTGTGCATTGTCTTAATTAAACCTATTAGCGTTCTGTTAAAACAATTTCTCAATGTTGTGGTTTCGTCAAAAAGAGATGAAGGTGGAAAAACCAATCTAATTAAACCGGAAGTCAGATATGTTGCTTGTAACCAATCAGTGTGCGCTTTGGAAGAATCTTTTGTCTTTCCACTAATCAGACAAAAGTCCAGATTCTGGACTACGGAGAGACAACATGTAAAGTATCAGGCATCCTTTTCCCTAAGCCTCCAAAAGGAAAAGGGAAGAAGGAAAGCCTGATCGCAGGTTAAGATGCCACCAAAAATCGCAAGACCGAATGAAACTAGGCTGTGTGGCAGGTGCAAAAAGGGAAAAAGCGCGAAAGAGGCAAAAAGGGAAGGGAGCACCTGCTATAAGCACCAGCGTTTTTGTATTCTGCCCAACATTTTCTGATAATGTCAGCTGTCAATATGCGACCAATCACAAGCAGGGGGCTTCTCAGCATGGTCTGAAATTAATTACTTTGTTGACCGGAAATTGTCAAGTCAAGACGCTTTCTTCAAGTGATATCATAATTGAGCGAAATAAAACATCTTTACTGTTCTTGCTCCCGAAGCAAACACGACAAACATATAGACTACGAGCAGTCTCTCTTTTTTTACTGCTCTCAGTCTACGACAAACAATGATCAGTTTCGTGTGAATACACAAGACCTTTGGTCTTACCTCATCAAACAGAACAGTCACAAAGAATAGAACAGTCACCAGTAGCCTGAGATGCGAAAAGTGAAAGGAGGATTATAAACTATATCAAAAAGCTCAACGGATAGTTTTTACCAAAGCTTCAGCTCTCCCTTTACAAACGGTACCATTTAGAAGTTCATTCAAGACAGTATATGTTTTTGTGGAAAACAGGGTCTTGAGAATATCAGTATTGCAGGTGTGTGGCAAGAATCGCAATCGCTTTGAATTGCCACACAGTGTTTGGACAAATCCAGTATACAAAACCTCCTGAGCATCTCTACCCGCTAAACAAGCTAATTACAGTTGGTTCCAGTTCCGTTTTAACGTGAAGTTGCTACATGATTGGAGTAATTTTGATCTTCCAAAGCTTATGCCAGTAGAACACGTTTCCTTGATGCCTTCATCATGTTTGTATGCCAGGATACACGCTAATAAATTACTCATCACGACTCAGCCAATCAGGAATTTGTGGACGCTGGCGTCCACAGAAATGAACAAAAGGGGGTTCTTATAGCAGGCATTCCTTACCCTTTCTCCCCAATCCCCCTCCTTTTTCCCTTCCTTCCTATCCCCTACCCCTGTCGACACCTGCTATGCAGGCTAAACGAAACAGCATTCACTTGTTGTGTAAGCTTTTAATTTTAAAAAATAGGACTAGCAAAAGTAGGCTAATTTCCTACCTGGGTGGATCCTGGCTGTCAAAAAAATGACCCTCTTTTTTACATCATCTTTCACATTCTCCGGTGAAGTGATGGTAATCATATCAACTCTCCTTTGCTGAACCGTCAAACATAACAACTCCCGTTTATAACATTCTAAGTTTCGCCTGTCAAGCTCCTCCAGGAAACCTTGTAGTCGAGAATAAGTGTAAGGGAAGCAGTATGCAAACTGATAGACATCTGTTTCATTATCGAAAGCAAAGGCAAAGGACAATACATAGTTCTTCCTATGATCAGGGCAGCGGTAATAAAAACAGTTCTTAGCAGGGATTCGTTGCCATTTCGGGCGGCTAGTAGATTTCACCAAAGGAGTCATTCCTTCACGGTATAAGCTTTTAGTTTTGCTGAAATTTACCACATTGAATATGACTCGTTGATACGGTGCTGTGTTCTCGACTGTGAAGTTAAACCATACACGGAAGCGAGGATTGCACGTATCCGGACGAATAAACAAATCATATTCGAATTCAGTGATATAGTCAACCCTACCAAGATTTCCACTTTCGAAGCATGCATCAAACATTAAGTGGCCCTTTTTCGGCGTTCCTGAAAAGCCTGGCGGTAAAGCATAGTATTTAGACAGATTTCCCACAGGTTCATCCAATTTAACAACATTTTCCCCGTCCAAATCTTCGTTAACACCGCTTTCCTGGCTTTCGCTGGGCGACGCCATTTTGGTGTGAATTCAAGAGTAACTTGTTACTATGACAACGAGTGCCAGTGAAAGGAATGCCCACAGGCCTACCATCTAATGGTCCCTGAATTAGGGTGTGTCGTGTGTTCGATTTAGATTTTAAAATCCGGATTTCGGATTTGCAATCGAACGCGAAATCCGAAAACGGATTTCAACGCTGAGATATCTGTTTTTGGATTTTCATTTTTACCGTTCGATTGGGAAATCCGTAAAAGGATTTGAAAAACTGTTCTTAAGAACAGCGGTCTTGCACGCGCACGCATAATTAGCAAAAAGAAGACCGCTGTTCACGAGAACAGTTTTGCAAATCCTTATCGAACGGTAAAAAGAAATCCATCAAATTCGTATTTAGACTTTTCAATTGAAATCCAACCTGAGGAAGGATTTCTCGGATTTCGCGTTCGATTGCAAAATCCCGAAATCCGGATTTCAAAATCTGAATCCGGATTTCCCATCGAACGCAACCTCAGATCTTGAACGGCAATATGGCTTCACAAAAGGAGTCTGTTTATCAAATTTCCAGTTGCTTTATGTACAATATGTAGTTAATAATATTCACTCAAGTAACGGCAAGCTGATATAAGATATTCCCAAGGATCTGTGCTAGGTACTCACCTGAGCAATATTTTCATAAGTTATCTGTTTTACACTTTCAAGAAAGCTAAAATAGCAGCGTATGCCAGTTAACAAGCAACTCTGTTATACAGCTGGAAATTTTTTTCCCAACAGCGCGCCCTCTCATTGGTTAGTTCGAGGTCACATGAAATCTAACAATGAAACTGTTTCCCGCCAAAATCTCTGAGAGGGCAACATTGCAAATCCTATGGCGTCAGAGGTCAGAGGGTAACAGTGCACTGTACAGCAAGGTTTAATGAATTTCCAGCTATATAACAAATCACTTAAAGACTAGTCCCTTGGGAAACAATTAATTTTGTTTCCCTCGAATCTTCTCGGGACCAGATTTAAAAGTGTTTATTTCTGAATTCAGAGCTAGACATCAAGTTTGCCAGATGAAAATAGACCGTGTCTTAAATCTCTTTCAGTCAGAAAGTTAATAATTTTGCCTTAAATGATGAAAAAGTTAATTTCACAACCCGAGCGTTTTTGGGAAACACTCGTGCAATTAATGAATTAGACTGTTCACAGTCCCCTATTTTCCCGTGAGATCGTCGAGATATAGCACGTCTTACCATTAATGGCGGCCATCTTGATTTTCAAATGTACCGTGGGGGCGGGCGTCGGGGATTACCAGTAGTAATTCCAGGCTTATCTCAGGACGATCCTGATAAGGAGGGAAAGTCTTTGGTCATCGGCGCTTATGAACCACTCTGAATAGTCGGGTGGATAAAGGCAATTTCAATCTATTCCTCCACTTTACACTTTTACAACTCTTTGCCAAATAGTATAATTGACAAGCAGTCAGTGGAGGCTTCTAAAAACGCTGACCCAGGAACTTTTTTTTGTCATTATTTTTATTTACTTAACACTTGCACCATGATTATATTTTAACATAAGCACATGCGCATTCGCTCATCTACTGTGATGGGATATACCCTTTGCAGATTAAACGATTAGGGTCAGAGTTAGGATAATAAGAGCAAGTTCCGCTTGTTACTTACAATTGGGCAATATTTTTTTTCGCCGTAAGGGTCAGTTTGCTGCTCTGTTTTAAAGCTGATCCTCGCTCCAAGTTTCTCTCTTGAACAAAACAATTCCAAGTCAAAATTCCGAACCGAAATTCTGTGAGCTTTTGAGGGACTAGACCGTAAGAATCATACACGTTTACGTATTGTATTAGGAGGAGGGCAGTCACTTACTAAGACGCAACATGAACTACCAAATAGCCTAGGCATGCAGACATCATTTTGGTGTGCTTCTCAACTTCTGTCTTGTTTATTCACTCTTTTTCACTCATTAATTCACTCAATATGTAATTTATTCACTCTTCCACTCATATCATGCACTACTGACTTAAAACACTCACTCGTGCATCAGTTCTTGCCTGTTATTTTCGTTTAATCCTTTATACATCTTTGTACAGTTAAACCAGCCTGAGCTGCATTCTGTGGTAATCACTCTGCCTCAGCCCTTTTTAACTGATGCGAGATTTCTCGGAGGATTCTGGATTGATCTTCAACAGCATTCTGAAGAAGCCTTATCTGATCACGCTGCCTAGCAACCTCCGCTATCACTTCGCTGTCTTCGCTTTCACCTTCTTTGGCGTCATCAACATTGTTTTCCTCCATAAAACTGTCTGGTTTTCGAAACAGATTACTATCCATTCCAAACCAGCTGTGTATAAAAAGTACAAGTAGTTTTAATCGTCGGACATTTGAGGATAAAGATTAAAAATGGATGAATTATCAAATCGTGTTCCAAAAGTTGTAGCCTCGGAACTGGCGCTATTTTCCCACATTTTTCACACGAGCAGGAAGCGGACGAGGAGCGCGAAGCACGCACGACGGGGAAAGGCGCGAACAAATAACGCATGTTGTGCAGGCCAGAAAAACGCGAAAAAAATAGCGCCCGTTTTGCAGGATACAAACTTTGTTACTGTAATATATTGTAAAGAAGTTATTTGTCGGTATATATTAGTATATGGTTGAACTGAACCTACAATTCCGTCACCTGAGTGCAAAGGATGCAATAAACCAGTGATTTGTGATTTCATTTGATCTGAAATATCTGTTGACAGAGTCAATGCATAGAGGAAGAGGCCTTAGGGTGGTTTTCCACTGTCGCTTAATTTTTACGTGCGTACGTAAATTTTACTCGCGTGAATAAAATAGAGACAAGGTATGAAGTGTTGCGCTTAACCGTGAAGTTTAGCGAGGTTCAACCATTTCTCATTACTTTCACTCGCGATCTTTCATGCATTGCCTCTATTAATTTGCGAACGTAAATTTTACGAATGTACGTACGTAAAAATTACAAGACAGTGGAAATCCACCCTTAATCTAGTCAATCGAAAACACGTCTACTTTAACGATCAGTACATCGCCAACTGGAGATCAACAGATCGCTCGTAAACTTGGTGAAGGTTTTGTCGTTTAGTCAGCTGCTCAGCAGAGGTAGACCACAGAACCTTTCTACCAGTCATGATTTAACAATTATGAGTATTGGTCCAGTCGGGGATCCGGCCGGAACTAGCCACATTCGACTTTGCAGATATCCAGGCAAACTGACAATCTAATTTTAACCTTATCTGTCATTCAGTCAAGTCTTTTTTCACGAATCGAACATCTCCTTCTGTGGTCAGAGGTTTATCGCAGAGTTCGAAAGGCCGGTTTGATATCTAGTTATAATAAGCCAAAACTGGGAAGAGAGTATACAGGCCAACCACCCGTAAGCGACCACCCAAAATCTAAAGACTTAGTGGTCGCTTACGGGAGGTGGTCGTTTACAAGAGTCGAGCCACAGGGGGCCTCTAACAAGAAAAGGTTCGGGCTCATCTACTTTATGGAAGATAATTTATTGCATGCAATTTCTAAGTTACGCCATGTGTAGTTCCATTTTGTTACTAAAGGTCTTCGTATACCGTAAAATTCCGAAGTAATCCCCTCCGTGTATAAGGCCCTCCAAATACAAGCCCTTCCCCCCCCCCCCCCCCCCGGGTCCCCCCCCCCCCCCCCCCCTCGGGGCTTGTACTTGGAAAATTGCCCTCAAATACAAAGTAAAACAAAGCAAAAACGGTAAATTTACTTCTAACTATAAGGCTAGCCCAATCGACTTTGAAACGCAAATTTCCCTCCGTAGATAAGCCCCTCCGAATATAGGCCCCTCCAAAAATAAGCCCCTCAAAAGGGGCCTTTAAAAAATATACTCCAGGGCTTATTTTCGGGAATTTTACCGTATTCTAAGTAGCACAGTGCACAAAGAGAACATATAGAGATCAGAGAATGCGTCAAGTGGTCGCTTAAGAGATGTTAAAAACATTAGAAAATCATTAAACCTTCAGGCCCAAAAAGTGGTCGCGGTCGCTTGCAGGAGGTGGTCGTTTACTAGAGGTTCCAACTGCAAGTAACTAGTAAGTAACTATACTCATCCGAGGTTTCTAGAATTTGGAGATCACACGATAAACAAGGGACTTCGAAGAGTCTATGTATCTGTCTCGAAAGAGTAACCAAACACGTTTGCGGCTGCGTAAGTCATATGTTAAAATGTTAAAAATACTCACTACTGAAGTTTCTTCCTTCGATTGGGCTTCACGACCAGTACTGACTTAAGGAAATATTTTTTCAGGAAATGAGGAAATCGTTGATCAATGTCGGTCACAAACTCAACTTGCATGGCCAGACGCGTCATATTTGCATCACGCTGGATACTGTCAATATCACCTACCGCCAAACCCACCTAAATTAAAATAGCAATAGTCATCTGACTTAACATCGCACTGAGAGAAAAGGAAACAAAATAGCATGCTATATGGCGAAAAGCACCATTTTGTCAATTTTCCTGGTCTGTTTAGAAAGAGAAGAGTTTGGAAACAACAAAAACCTTAAATTTGTGAACTTCAGTAGTACTGCGCTGTGTTTGGGACCAACCTCGTTACATGAGGGCTTTTTCTCTTAGAAAAGACCTGAGAACGAGACTGCTTTGGGACGTTTCTTTTTTTGGATAGGGTAAAAATTTTGACACGCTTGTGTATAAATGAAAAAAGATGATTTTAAAATGCAATATTCCGAGCTGAATTAGCCTGCCTAGCAAGCGTTTCCGATCGAGCTATTACGTGAAAGTTTGAGCGAGAGCAAAAATTCCTCTTTTTTTGCTCTAGTCGGCTAACTTTCTCGACGAACTCGCGCGGAAACGCTTGCTACGCAGGCTAGAGAGGAATATGCGGAAAAATTTGCAATCACTTTTTCCTTTGGGTCACCATTTTAATTTTGCTGTGAAAGGCGGGAAAAGCGGGGGGAGCAGTGCCTTATCATTGTATCGTGCCTTTTGTGTTTAAATATCTTCCAGTAAGATGGGGCTTCGGATGAAAAACAGATATTCCCTTGCGGTTCTTGCGCCTTAAAATTGTTCACTTCTTTATGACACAGTCTCTTACGAGAATAGCCCTCTTTGTACTCTCCTACTGTAGAAATGCAGACTTTTCTAGCTTCAGTTGTACAAACAAGAGGACACGGTTGTTTCCACTAAGTATACGGCTTACAAAGTTAAAAATTAGATTTAGCAAAATAAGTTTGTTCACTTACTAACAGATTCATAAGAAGGACGGAGACCATTATACAGAACAACAACACGAGGGTCGCAGAGAACTCTGGGATAGGGGCAAGTGGTGCCCCAGATTCGTCACTGAACTGGTCCTTGGCTTCAACTATAATATCAGTATAATCAATCTCGCCGAGCATCATTATAGCTGTCTTCACGAAAGACCACAAAACAGTGTTGAAAGGACCCTTAGAAAAAAATTTATAATGTCTGTAAGTTTGTTTGATACCAAAGAAAACCGTAAGCAACACACGCACCTGAAAGGAAGAAATGTAAAAATATGCAAAATATATATTACTCGATGCCGAGAGATGGGCCAACCTTTTAAGAAAGTCTACGACTAGGTAAGTTTTGTTAAGAACATACAAATATTTTTAATATGAACAATAAAAGACAATTATTGAATTCGGCTTTCGTATGATGTGAAGCATTATGCAGATCTCAGAGGCTGTTTTTTTATCCACCTCAACCGTTAATATACTCCTCATTCTGCATAATTCCTCACATCATACTCAGGCCCATTCAATAATTGTTGATTATATTATGCAACATACCTGTTCTTTGAGAAGAAGGAAAAAAGCCAGTGAGAACGAAACGATCATTGGCGTGAATATAAATATGACTCGAAGAAATGTTTTGGCTACTTCAATAAACATCGAGATGTAAATACCAAAATATGAAAATCTTCTCAAGAACAAAGTAAGACTGATGTACGACAAAAGAATCACTACTGTTGCAAGTGGCCATAGCGACAAGTCGTAGATGTTGCGCCCAATTAAAAAAGGCGCGACGTAACAAAGAGCTGTGATGTAGCAGCACCATTCAGTGAGATTCGTGAAATGAGTGAAATACCTCCAATGTTGCACTGTTATTTGGTAAATTTCTTTCGCGATATGTATGCAAATGAACAATGCAATCAGCACAGGGACCCCATTGGAAAACGCGTTTCTATTCTCGAAGATCTTCCTATCTTCTTTAGTGGCATTGCTGGAAGAGGAATCAAACACGTGCTGCTTTGCTCTTTCAGTCAAGGTGAAAACAGTGAAGAGGCAAACAAAGACCAAGTAGGTGAGAAAGTTACACCAGAACACTGGCTTTCCCAGGATAATCCACTTCCACTGAAGAAGAGCCTGGCATAAAGGGTGAACAAGCAGGTCTTCGCGTTCAGCTTCAACCATTGTAGCAGGGCCAAAGAAGAATTTTCCTCTGGTTGCCTGATTCTCACTGGTCTCATCGCTAGTCAGGAGACTGAAATCAAAGGTCACGGAGTATTCAGGGTCGCTTTGCGGCAGATCAGAGTAGGTAATGCATTTATTCATGACTTCCTCAGCAAGTTTAGGCATTTTCCTTATGAGTTGTGCCATGGGATTTGGTTCATTGTTACCTTTGCATTTAAGGATGTTCTTCCACCTAGATATGGAGAAGAAAAGTTTTTGTTAGTTGAAAAGTCTGAGAAAACAGCAGACATTTCGAGACGCCACCTCTTGTTCAGGCCTTTGAAATATGATTACGTGACTATCAAGATCTGGGTCCAGTATCTCTTAATGGTCGAAGCAAATTTTCCCTGCGGTACGATCAATTAAAGGGGCTGTGTCATGGCAGTCCAGTTCATTTTGTTTAATTGTGCTAATTACTCGCCCTCAGTCACTATGGAACATTAAGTAACCAAAGAAATTACAGGTAAATGACAAAATCAGAGATCCGAGACAAACAAATATGTCTCTTGAGCATTATTTTTGAAGTTGCAAGCAGCAGGGATCAACTTTGAAAAACTGTTAGGCTGAACAGTTTTCAAAAAACCCTAATTTTAATCCGTTTCAGTCTTCTTAAGTTTTGCCCATCCGTGGCATCTGTTAATTCTGTTAAGTTATTTTAACCTTCCTTTAAAGTTTTAAGTGGTTATTTTTATCTTTCTCTTAATTTAACGGGCATTTCGTAATTTCCTAATTTGGCTGAATTTCGTAACACAGCTCCTTTAAGAGTACTATCAAGTTCTGGAATGTCATCACTATGGAATTTCTGCGTTCGTCACCTCAGACGAACCTCGCTGGGAAACCAGAGATGGCGTTAGAAAAAAACACCAGAAAAAAGAGATAGTTCAGTCTCTAACAAGTATTTGTGTAGCTTGTTACACAAATAAAGCAAACTAATTCCTTAAAAGAAGAGAGAGCAATGCAATCTGGGTCTGTCGGATGCAGTCTTTCTTCCTACGCTCCCTCTTGGACTGGGAGACCAAAGAACATGGAAACGAGGTTAAAACAAAACAGGCATTCTGTGAATGCCGTATTACAAAATAAAAATAATAAGAAAAATTACGACGATATGTGCACCTGCTTTACTGCAGTAGTTTTAAGAAAAGATCCATAGTAGCGATCCAACAATAAACAACATAGAATTAAAGCTGTGAGGGTTGGGGTTGATTTGACTTACTTTTGGTTTCCTAAGAAAACCTCCGCAACTTTCTCCTTGCCGCTTTCAATTGCTACATCCAAACAGGTCTTCTTCTCTTTATTAACCACACTGATATCAGCACCACGAGATAGCATCATCTTTACAATGTTCACGTGACCACACTCAGCGGCAATATGTAAGGGTGTGTTGCCGTCTTCATCTTTTGCTTTCATTGGCTGAGTCGAATGATGGTCAAGCAATGCTCGAGTGCTGAAGGCGCATCCTCCAAACGCGGAATGGTGAAGTGGTGTCCAGCGGTTGATATCTCGAATCATGATGTGCGCACCCATGTGCAAAAGTACAGAACATGTTTCTCTGATAAACAGGAAAGACAAGGACATCACGACAAAACGTTTTCAGAGAATGAGTCGTATGATTTAAAGAGGCTTTATCACGCTATTTGTTATCTTTGTGAAAAGTTAAAATGTATCGTCGCATCAACTAAATTTCAAAAATGATGGTTCAGGTTTGTTATTTAAGACTGTATTTATTGAAACTCTTTTCTTTCGTCTGTTGCTTCGGATGGCAAGGATGGACATGGATTGAAATTTGAAGAAATCGGGCCAACTTTTTCAAGTTTAATGCTATGCCTACAAAAATCACCAGACAAATGTTATCTTATTAGTGCTCGGTGGTGAAATTTGTTTGACGTCTTTTTCATTTCTCTAACGGAGAATTTTAAGTATGGTGTAATACAGCAATATCCTAGTGACATAACCGCTTTAAATAAGTTAGGGTTTTCAACTGGAGACTCCTGACTCTTTAGGTGCAACTAGAATAAAGTAGATATTTCTTACCCTGCCTCAGCTGGGACCAGGGTAACTAACATGTCTTCGTAAATTCTTAGATTTAAACATTTGTACGTGGTAGCTGAGTTTTGCCTCGGGTAGTGTGGCAGAGAAATGCCAAGAAATGTCACAAACCGATTGCTTTGCTTAATTATTAACCCGGTTGTTTGTTCGAAGCCGTCTCTACAAGTGCCATTCCATGGTTTCTTACATTCTCTCCACAGTTTAAGAATTCATTGTATAGTGCTGGTATACCTGCATCGTTCTCGCGCGGCTAGATGAAGGGCCGTGAGCCCGCGTTCGTCTTTATCGTTGATATGGCCAGGATAAGTTGAGCAAAGCACCTCTACGCAGCTCACGTGACCCTTTTCAGCGGCTTCATGTAGAGGAGACCTCTCAAATACATTGCGAGTCACTGCGCATTTCTTCAGGAGAAGAAGCTGAAGAATCTATAATTAAAATTTAAAAAAGAATTGAGAATAGTTCAAGGCAGGAGACAATTGAAAATAAGCAATTGAAAGGATTCATTATCTTGGATACGAAATTTAACACGGGGAAACTTCAAGACGTAGTCCTCAGTGATTTCAAAGTAACGCTAGAGAGTTGTAAATAACTTCAGGCACGAAAGGTTAATGCTGACTTTCGAGGAAAAGATCCCCTCGCTGGGATCCTCATTTCACTTTTTAAAGTTCATCTCATCAGGCCTTACTTTGTTTGATCCTATTTTTGCTGCATAATGTAGCGGAGTTTCCAAGTCCTTGTCCTTCTCATTGATCAGTTCATCCTGATCTCGGTTAAGAAGCATGCGTAAAGTATCCTCTCGCTCGTACTGCACAGCGAGGTGTATGCAGGTCCGGAGAGAATCGTCACGCGACTTCATGTCAGCCCCAGACTCCAGCAGCAGTTCTGCAGTTCGCGTCCTTCCTCGTTTTACGGCGCAAAGGAAAGCAGTACGGTAAGCACTATCTCTTGCCTCAATGTCTGCGCCCATCTTTAGTAAATACTTCACAACATCGTCACGGTCAAACTCGGCAGCCCTACCAAATAATAAGATAACATGTTAAGTTTAATATTCCTCACCATCCCAGGCAGCAACTTCCTTCTCGTACCTTAAGTTTGTCTTCATCTTTCCTCCTCCTCGATTAGCTTTTTATGCTATTAGCGGTAGGAAAGTTTTTTTTCCGATTTCTTATACCTGTAATTAATTAACTGCGTGTGTAATTACTCTCGTATTTGAAAGTGGAATAAGATTGTTGTTGTAAAATGGGAGGGGCGCCTCTCCCATTTTCTAAGGAAAAAGCCCTGGGGAGGAGGTTGCACGGGTGTATTATCAACACCAGCACCATACTTTGACTATGAAGCACCTTCACATAACTGTTCCAATCTTTTTGCAGTCTTTGCCACGTCGTTAAGGAGGTAGTTAACCCTAATCTAAAATAAAATAGTTAAGTGGGATATTTTCTTAAAGATTTTATCAAACAGCATTTTGGCGAGATAATGGAATTGATTGAGTTGACACAAATGATGTGGCATGCATGGGACTAGGCCCACGTGTTGCCATGGTAATGCCATAAATCTAAGGACAAATACTTAGGTTATGACAAACTTATCTCAGCAAATATAAACATTACTTTAACCAATCTTTCCAGGAACATTAACACGGTCATAAGTTGTGCAAGGTGTAAACAATTTTCAAGTCTCGGTAAACAGAGATCGTAGTGTAGATTTTCTTTCACTCCTTTAGGCTGGTTGCTTAGAAAAAACTCCAGTACTGACTGCCAATGAATCAAGTGCTTTTAAGCAAATAAAAAAATTGCTGGTTTTATACGTGCATTTTTGGAGATGGGACCACTTTTTTTCCAAAGTTATCTGAGTCGTGTGAAGTTTAAGACCATTACAGGATCCAACTTGAGTATTCCGACCTCGAAGATCGATCTCAAGACTTCCCGCTCAGCACTCCAACGCTCGACCAACTAAGCAATTAAAAACTCAGCACTGCCCTTACAAAAAAACCTACAGAACTTTTAACCGCAATACTGTACTACCCTAGCATGTTTTTGAACGAAAGGGTGCATAAAAAATCAGTTTCTAGTAAAATCTTAAAAAATAATAACAAAAACAGAGTTCGCAAACTCGTTCATTAGAGCACTAAACTGATGATATAACAACACTAAACATGCATCACCTATGAAGAGGAGTTCTCTGAAATTCGTCTCTGCAGTCCACTGGTGCATTATGAGTAATAAGCAATTCTACCACAGTCATGTGACCATTAGTAGCAGCAAGGTGCAAGGGTGAGTGAATATCCCACTGATTTTCCCCATCCATTACGTCAGCTCCATAACCTAACAAACATTTTGCCGTTTCCACGTGACCTTTTTGGCAGGCCAAGTGTAGAGGAGTATTTCCTTCAAAGTCGGGCTTGTTGATGTACAAGTGTGGGATTCCAAATATATCATTAGCTAGGAAAACAAGAATAAATACTCATGAATTACTGTAACTTGAGTGTGCTACTAGACCACTACTAGGCTACTAGCCCCCCCCCCTCCCCCCTCCGCCTCTCTAAAAAATTGAATAACTTCAAAACCGTTCAAGGTAGGACCACCAAACTTGGCGACTTTTTCTAAAATTTATCTGGGAACATTTTAAAGTGGTCGTGACGCGTCAACATTGATGTTACCATTGCAACCGTTGACAGCCATGTTTTTCCAAATTTTGCATTTTCTCCAAAGTATAGGTTTTCTTTTTATTGTTACTGATTGAATTATTATATTACACTTAATTTAGCTTTATTTTATCAAAGTCATTGTAACTGTTAATGAAATCCAGGCTTCTTAGTGACTAGTTTGAGAAAAAAATAAGAGTTTATTATGACCAAATGGCAGATGCTGAGAAAGAGAGAATGATCTCTTGTGCCGAGTTAAATTTTCAACAGTGCTTTCTAGGCATCCTTTTATATTCGAATTAAGACTGCTGTTAAAAATACCTCTATGTATACGAGTTTCAAGTAAAAGGGAACACATTTAATCCAAGATCCAAGATGGCGGATGATTCCAGTTCCTTTTTTTATGTGTTAGCGAACTTTCTTTATTTTATCAGACCTTACTATTTACGCTTTTTTCGCTCTTTGTCTACTTTGAGAGAAATTTGGATTTTGCTAATAAATTCAACAACATGACGTCATAATGACGTCAGATTACGTCATATTGTCAGTCAAGTTATACACAGAAGTTGGATGAGTACATTACTGATCGTGTGTAATTTTGGTGGCCTTAGGATGAGCGGTTTTCAAGTTATAGAGAGCAGGAATCCAAAAAGGCCCAGTTAAACATGATATAACACTGAATTATTTAACATTATCAGACTATTTTTATTGGCAAAATTAAAATGTTATTTATTCCTTCTGATCTTGAGGCTCATCTATAGTTTAAAGCAATTTGAATTACATCCTTGATATCATTACAAAAGCTAGAATTTCTTCTCAAATCACTGTCAATGAAGAATAAAACCCTGACTTTGTCAGCACAGATTTAAATTCATTCTTCAATTCAGTAGTACTGATTTATAGATATTGAGGAAACTGAGGTAAATTCATTCGTAAAATGACAGTGAAAACTGGTTAATTTGAAACTTTTTTTGTCTGACTGGTCTTTTTGATGTTTTAAGTCGTCGACGCATTTTTCCCCCATGGACAGGGCCAATGGCAAGGCTTCCAACAGCGGTTTGAGTTTTTTTAAGTCCCCTTCCGATAACTGGCGAACGATCTCACGCCACCTCTCAGTCATCTAAACTGAGAATAGCTTTTAGTCAAAGGCTGCTTTATCTTGCAAACATTTCATAGACTTTCCCTGATACCTGGTGGAAGACTCTCCACACCGATAACTGGCTTATTAGTCTGCGCTCGACACTTAGGAGACAAAGTCGGTGCGCTCCTCCACGTCTCAGTTAAATGTGGCTGACTGTTTTGACCCAATTCGTTCTTATAGGCTCCTGGCCAAATCCACCTTTCCAGTCCACGAACTATATTTAAAAGTAAAAAATATGAAAATACCTGCAGTCAGACTAACCTTGAGTTATCAAAAGCTCGACGATCTTTTCATTTCCATGCAAAGCAGCCAGGTGTAGGGGGCTCTTTTCTTCCAATGTGCGCGCGCATATATTTGCTTCTTGTTCCAAAAACATCTCACAAAGCTTAAGACTACCGCTGACACAGGCGAGATGGAAAGGTGTCATTCCACTGTTATCTGGACAGTTAACGGACGATAACTTGTTACTCAGCAGAACCCTGGAGCTTGCTACACAGCCTCGCCGTGCAGCGAAATGAAGTGGTGTTGCGCCGTCGGTGTTTTCGATAGAGGGGTCAGCATTATATTCTATAAGCGTTTTGACAGCCTCGAAACTGTTATAGCTGGAAAGAAAAGACCAAAACCTGACACTTTAATTAAATTAGCGATGTATAGCAACATTTATCCTAACTTTTTTTATGTTTTCCCCGACCTCTCTCGTTCGAATAACTGTAGTCCTTGCACGGGGGACCAGAAGCTCTCGCCCGTTACTATGTGACGTCACACTTGATTTCGTCAAGAAATGCAGTTGGAAAACAATATAGTTATCTCCCACGGACTTGGTTTAGCCCACCGTCCACACGTAAGGCCGGTGACAACGGTCACCGAAAACGCATAAAAAACGCGCTGCAGAGCGGAGATTTTTAAAAAATCCTGGAACAAAAGAACTATTGTGTTAAGTTTGATGGGCAAATTCAGGTCGGTACAATGGACCTTTTAGTTGATATGTTTTCCAAATTATCTACTAAATTAGTCTTAATTTGTTAAATTCTGTCACCGCTTAAGTCTTATATATTTTCTTCTGTAGTTTAGAGTGATTTTACTTGAACCGTGAAATAGGTAGTAGAACACTTAACGCACTATTATGAACTATTTCTATTGTCTTTTTTTTCTACCTCTCGCTATTTACACTACATATTTCTTAGCATCTGTTTCACGGTTCAAGTAAAACAACTCTATAATATAATGTTAGTATAAGTATTATTCAGTAGTTGTTGTGTGCTCTCCAATTATTACTATTTCGTATCCATATCTAAATTTTACTAGTTGGGACTTCCTCAACAGCTTTTTTCCTCTTCTCTTTCCTTCTTCCGAAAATTCACTTTTTTACTGACGTTTTAGTGGCCGCCGCCTTCGTGGTATCTTAAACTCCCTAGTGAGCTAGTCAGAAAGTCATTAAATCTTATAATTATTTTGGTTTTCCCTTGGGTCTTTCGATGAATGTAGTTCAGCTTTAGATATCAATTTGCCTGTTTGTTTGAAAAGAAAAGATGACGTCAAAAGTAAATTTACTATTTAGCATATTAACTGACTACGCAATAAACGGGGCAGTGTTCTGTTATGGCGAAAAACAAAACGTTTTGAAACTAATTTGAAGGCACTCTTTTCGTTTACTGAAATATAAAGCAATTACTTATTTATACCCTCTGTAACAGACGCAGTAGAGTCTATATCTTCATGTCACCAGGTTCTTGGAGGAAACGTCACCGCCGTTGGCTTATTTCCCACAGGGTCTTTTGTAGTTGTGTAACTTCCATACAAGCTTAAAGCGGTTACAGAACTTAAAACTTTTCGCCATGAAACCTTTAACCCTTTAACATATTGCTACAGTGAGAAGAGCTAAACGTTTTACACTTTTTAAATGCAAGATCAATTATCTGTACCCTCCAATTTTTCTGTCAATGGTAATAATGTTTTATATTCATTTTTTTATTATAAGCAACTGAATACGAATAACGAAATATGCTGGTTTTGTGGAAGCCATAAAAGACGTGACCGGGGAAAAAAAAGTAACCAGGTAGAAACAAACTATTCGCCAGGTATCGGGGAGGCTGAATTATATAACTGGACTACAGGGTAGGGTTTCACTGAGTCTGTTACAGAGGGGTCCTTTTTCTTGCTTTAAAACTCTGAGAAGTAAAAAGTCGATGAATTTCCCAAGTCAGCCAGGCAAGTACCGCTGCTTACCATGTTGATATAGATTATCGCTGTGCAATTTGGTCAAAAGTAATTAAAACGGGAGTACGTATATACAATTAGAGAGTTAGCTTTGTAAAAGCTCCGCCTTGTTTAACACGAAGGTGCCAAAATCGGTTAGAAATCGATTTGCTCCGCCGTTCTAGAATTTGGAATGAGACTGTACATCTTTTGAGAAAAAGACTTCAAAACTGTGGGACAAGCAGAAATAACTCACCGAACAGCCATGTGTAAAGGCGTGAGAAGCTGTTGACCCTGATAGTTGACGTTCGCGCGGCAATCCAGCAACAGGGACATCGCTTCAGTGTTGTTAGCGCTAGAGGCATAATGCAGCGCCGTAAACCCAGCACCATCAACAACATCCATATCGTGCCCCGTTTCAGAGTAACGCCGCACACTCTCCATCTTGTTCGCTCGGATAGCTTGATGGACACTGAAGAAATTTCCGTTGGTTTTTGACGGAGAGATCGGCGAAGAGGCTGAAAACGAAGCATTCAACTCATAGGTTTCGTAGGCAAACTCTGGACGAAACTGTATTTCTGGACTACCGGACGACGAAATGCGCTGTCTTCCCAAAAGAAGAACACCGTCCGCATGGTCTTTACTGCTTCGGCCGTTTTGCTTTGAAGGAGACTTTAGCGCATAAGACATGATTTCGAAAAAGAATCAAAAATTTAAAATAAAACGGCGCGATTGCACGTTACCAACTCGACGGTTTAGAGCAATTGAACTATGCTAATTAACTAGACGTCGTTATTGTGGGTAAATCTTAAGTAATTATCATAGAAACACTCTTGCCACTGGACCCTTACTGGTCTTTTGTTCTCGTTTGACGGATAGCGAGATGGGTACAATCAAAAGCCATACCTATGGGTCTTGGTACAATACAAATGAAAGAGTGGATTTCCTTGTCGCAAAGCTTTTTCGCGCGTTGCTATAAAAAAAAGAAAGAATGATTTTGTCCTTCAGTATGCTTTTTTACAATAGAGATCTCTGAATGATCTTTGAGTTTGTCTATTTCGTCTAGTTAATGAATAAAAGGGTTACGTTTCTAAAGAAACTGCAATGTTTCGTCGGGAATGGGGGGAGGGAAACACAAAATTTGGTTGGATCCCCGGCGGGGGCACACACAGAAAGTATCTCGGATAGGAAAAGGATATACATTTACTATAGAGGCATTTCTGACAAAGGCTTAGAGTTCGGTAGGCACCCGGCCGGCTAGGGAGCAGATTTCCAACGCATAAATCGCAGCCCGTTGATAGTTTGGAGATTCTTGGATCAACCAAAATAAATTTAGTAACACACAATTGCCGTTTTTTAAAAAAGAACCTCAAGGTCGATTCCGAGGACCTCTGCGTCCGTAACTGCAAAATTTGTCTCCCCGTGAAGTTGACAAACTCCATGGGAAGGGTTACTGTGGAGCAGACCCGGTTGACCTTAGTCTCCTTCGTAGCCGTTATTGTGACGAGCCTAAAAACGGCTGCGAAGGAGATTAGGGTCTGTTTACATGAAGGTGGGGGACCCCAGGTAGGTGAGGTAACATGTGGCAAATTACCCCAACTAACATGTAAACGTGATCACAATAAAATGACAGATTTGATGGACACCTGCCTGGGGTCCCCCACCTCCATGTAAACAGGCCCTAGGTTGACCCAGGTTGACCCCAGTATGAGACATTCCCCTCACAAGGTGGTCACGAGTTGTCACGTAACAGCAAATTTTCTACCACGTGACGTGTTAATTACAGGTAACTTGCATCGTCACAATTGAAGCTGCGTTTGTGGCAACAGCGTCTCGTCTTGATCTTGGCCGTTTTTCATTTTTGCCCAAAGTAGCGTGAAAATGTCAATTGTTTCGTTTCTAATGCTTTACTCAACAGTTTTGGTGACAGCCGCTGTTGATGCAAAGCTATCGAAGCTTCATTATTTACCCGAGACGGACATGAATGTGGTAAGTACTTAATGGTTTCAGTCCAGTCATGGTTGCATGCTTATAGACAAAACTGAGCAGTCTTTTCTTTAATAACCGATAAGCGCGTCACAAATCTATAATACCCTCATTTATGAGTATACTTAATAAACTAAAGCACCATTTGGTAAATGATAATTGTGGTTTCTATTTATGAAAAATCGACATACGACTGAAATGCATGATGAATACATATTTCATATGACTGCGGCAAACTAATGTTAAACGGCCAAGTTTCGCTCTACGCTATTTTGAATCTTCTCACTCTTTCTTTTAATTATTTAAAATGCTTTGTTGGGGAAAATGTTCCAAATATGCGATGAAGATTCGGTATTTTTGCGTTTTCGGGGAAAACAAAATTGCTGAATAAAAATAATTTGCCTTCAAACGAATAAGTGTTTATGTCAATACCTAAACATGAACAATTATGACGCTTACAGCATTGTAACGAACACTGAGGCTCTAAAGGTTAAAACGGACAGAGAAAAGTTGGCTCTGTCCTCTGTATTTATCTGAACAAATAATAACCTTTGCGCTTTGAAAATGAAAGGCGAAGCTAAAACGTCGATGACGTATTGCCTACAGGTAACGCCACTGGTATCCCTGAACTTATGCATACTGGCTGGCTGCACTGCTGCTGAACTAACTTGATTTTTGTTATGAAGCGTTGAAACTGATTTAAATTTTTTTTCACCAATTTGATTTGTGAATTAGTTACAACCTGTAAAATATAACGACTCACTAATTGTAACTCACTCATAGCATTTCGTTAAAGGTCGCAACGGGAAGCGGACTGCCAGCAGTCGTTTTATTTCCTCAACTGAGGCACGCGAGCTGACTTATGATTATGGAGTTAAATCTCGCGGTTTTGCTCTCGTTTCTTTGTTCTGCCCTGGGATTTTTCGCGTTTTTAAAGAAACTAGTCAAAGAGAAGACTGGTCAAAGTCCTTATTCGAAAAGTGGTTCTTGCAGAATGGGCTTTTCAGGCAGTGACGCGAAGAAAGGGACTTTAAGATCTGACAACGCGATGGCAACGAGAACGTAAAAGAAATAGGTTTAGATGGCAAAACAACAACTTTAAGCGTGCACCATACCTTTTTGTAAATTTTTTTGCCGTTTTTGCATGACTACGACGTGAAATTGCTTGTCATTATTACATTTTATGGAGGAAGTAAACAAGCGACGACGAAATTTTATTTCTCTTTCTCAGCTTGGATAGGGATCCTAGCAATTCAACTCCAGGGGGGTTCTCCTACTTTGAACTATAAAAGTAAATGGGTAGGAATAATCGCGATAAACACTGGAAGAAAGTAAATTCACTTTTTATACGACGTTTTCGCTGCCATCGCTTCGTCGGGTCGGAAATCCCTTATTTTAGCCAAGTCACGCAACCCCGAGAGTTTTGGGCTAAATCTATAGATTATTTTTAATGTTGCGACAACATTTGGCTCCAAAATCGACAGCAACAACGACAACAAAACAAAAAACAAAGGTTATTTAGAAAATGTGACGCTCTGCATTTCCAAGAACTGTTAAGACTTTCGTCTATTAACTATGCTGTGTCGAAGTGGAATTTGGATATGTTGGGTTTTGAGGAGAGGGGGAGTGCCAGAATAAAACCTCTTGGAGAAGAGAACCCAGGCAGCATTGCTTTGGTAATAAGATGATTGCTCTTATCAGTGCGCCAGCTCTTCTCCCCACACATTCCACATGGAACCTGTCAGATTCTCTCAGTCGACTAACAAATACTAAAAACCTTGTCCTGTTCAGAGACCTCTAAAGTCAGATTGAGTATGAGTAATTGTGTAAACCAAGCTCGCGTCGCTTGACCTCCACTTATATAAGGCGAATTGTTTCGAATTTTTACGTGTCTCATAAATCGTTACCTACACTGTGCAAAATTTCTAGATATATTAATTTTCCGAACAAGCACCATCACATAGTGATAGTTAAAAGGCCCGCAGAGTTTAGAGAAGCAATACTGACATCGCGATCAATTCTTTCCTCTTTTAATATTTTGCAGACCCAAATCATCCGTTACAATGGGTATCCTGCCGAGGAGTACAGCGTTGTTACAGATGATGGTTACATTATTTACATACAAAGGATACCATCAGGAAGAAATCAGGATCCCAGCAGCGGTCCAAAGCAAGTGATATTCCTCCAGCACGGTCTCCTTTGCTCCTCGTCTAATTGGGTGACTAATTTACCGAATGAGGGTTTTGCTTTCATCCTGGCTGACGCAGGATTCGACGTTTGGTTGGGGAATGTAAGGGGAAATACGTACGGTCTTCGCCATGTAAAGTACCCGGTGCATTCTGATGAGTTTTGGAATTTTAGGTCAGACAGTTGCCCCCTTTTTAACTTATGTCGCGTAAGCTAGGGTAAAACGGGCTGCAAAAGCGTGCCAATTGTTTCGAAGCATTGGTGCAAAACGGGCGAAACCTGTAGTGCAAGTTGCAACGATCAAACCTGTAGTGCAAGTTGCAACAAATCTGGTTGCTGCAAGTTGCGTGAATACTGACTTCTGATTGGATGAAATAAGGCGGGAGTCACGCCATACACGGGAGTTGCAAAACAAGTTTGCCATGGGCCGTTCAAACGCGCATCATGTACAAATTTTGGTGCAAAAAGTAGAGCTACTCTTCTTTCTGAAACAACTTTTCAAAACCTGCAACAACCAGATTTGTTGCAAGACAGGTTAAGGTCGTGGGTGGTAAAACTCTCAACATCGCTATTGAACTCGTTTAGCAGCAGTACTGCAAAATAAGTTGTACATTTTTTGTTGTTACCGTACGTTTAGTTATAGCTGGCCTGGGAGGCGGGCTAAGAGGAACTGTGATGTAAGGCCGCGAGTAGGCTCTTCATTTGGGGGTTTTTGCAAGTTCTCTGGAGGCTCGCTACACATACGACTCGTCGTGAATAGCTTGCTCTCAGGCTCTTTTGTTGGTCGTTGAGTCACAGTAGATCGAGAGAACGCTTGGTGGACGATCGGCATAGGCGCCAGGAACGATGGCGGAAGCTTTTTCCTCTCTCCACCCCAATCTCTCCTCCTTTTTGCCATTAATTTACATCATTTTACTTTTACACTCGCCGCGCGTGGCTCTGAGGAAAAAAGGACGACCGCTTGCGGTCTATAGGAATTAGGGACCTTACGACACTACGACGGCGACAGCAAGGAGAACGTCAAAAAAAAAAAAATAGGTTTAATGAGCAAAACAACAACTCTGCACGTGCGTCACGCTTTTTTGTACATTTCTTTGCTGTCCCTGCACAACAACGACGCGAAATGACCACACTTTAAGTTTACTTGAGTACGGGAACGACAAGGCGATAAATTCTACCATCTCTGTCTGAACTCGGGCGGGGCCCCCTCTCTTCAGCTCCAACCAAAATTCCCTTGTTTTAAGTAACAGTGCGAATTGGGATAATCGCGAAAACGTCTAAAAGGATGCGAAGTCCATTTTTCAACGAGGTTTTCATGGAGGTCGCCGTTGTCGGATCGTAAGGTCCCTATTGTAACGACGAGCCCCCCGTAAATGGCTATACATATACTGCTATTTACTACTCAACCTGGAGAAGGGCCATCTCCCCAAGTTCTTTTCAGGAAAACGTCGAGCAGGCGTATTCATCACTCAACGAAATGTTCTAACCGTTAAGCGGCCCACGTTACACAGACTTGGTAATAAATGGATAAAAGTACAAGAGAAATTGTAGTTATAAAATGTTTGTTAATCTTGTAGCTGGGATGAGATGGCAAGCGAAGACCTTCCCGCCATGTTGAACTTTGTTACAAACAAAACATCACAGTCCTCGATATATTACGCTGCCCATTCACAAGGAACCTTGATGGCTTTTGCCGAGTTTTCCAGGAATAAAGAATTAGCGAAAAAAGTGAAGAAGTTCTTTGCTATGGGACCCGTGGCCACTGTGGGCCATATGGAGAGTCCTATTAAATATCTTGCTGATTGGATACACGAAATAAAGGTATGATGTTAGATGAACACCGTAGGCATGTAACCCTGAAGCGTAGACCTCTGTTCCAATGCAGGGGTTTTCGTGAGAAACAATCTAAATTTACCTCCTAATTTTGCGGGAAAAAACTGATACACAAGCAACAGTAGACTTGCTACAAGTCGACCTCTTAGCCGCGAAGCGGCCGACCGCGAGATCCGACGAAGGACTTTTTTGAAAGTCTAAAGCAACAGGTTTAGATTAACTTTGCAAGTGCATCATACTCCTTTGTACATTTCTTTGCCTTCGGTGAACGACTAGAACCTGAAATTTCTTTTCAGGTTTTTAAGGAGGACGCGAACCCTCTTGTACCTTCCTTGAAAATTCAACTCCACGAAAATTCGCCAACATCTGACAAATTGAAGAGGTGGAATAAGAGCCTTAAAGCCATAACCCATAAGTTATCTTTCTCAATTTGGATATGGTTCTCAAGCCCCGTGCAAACAGACGCAACATTGTTGGCCAAAAACTCCCAACATTATTAGATTTTACATGTTGCGTCCGTTTGTACACCCTGTTGCATGTTGTTGGATGTTTTTGGGAGTTGTTGCGCAAACGGACGCAACATTGTTGGATGTTACATGTTGTGTCTGTTTGCACACCCTGTTGCATGTTGTTGGATGTTGTTGGGAGCTGTTGCGCAGAGTTTAAAACCGGTCAAACTTTTAGCTCCGTGCAAACGGACGCAACAACTCCCAGCATTGCGGTGTCCGTTTGCACGTAGCTTTATGAGTTCAACTCCAGGCCCCAGTTGTTCAAAAGGTGATAGCGCTATCCACTGGATAAATCTCTGTCCAGTGGATAGCGTAATTGGTTTCCCTAATACGTATCCACTAGATTGTGATTTATCCGATGGATAGCGCTATCCAACGTTTAAACAACCCGGGCCAGGAGCGTTCGAGTTAGTGAGAACCTCTGTATGGATACCTGCGGTCAACGATTTCGTCGCGCCTTTTCCATCAAATCGTCGGTTTCCTCATCAGGCGAACTGATCGTCGCATCACAAGAATTGTTTTGCATGTTTTGATGATGGAAACGAGAAAACAAGCAAAACAAAAACCGAGCGTACGGCACACTTTTTTCAGTGGTAGATTTCTTTGCCGTCATTGCACGACTAACGTTGTCAAACTTGATTAAAATCAATTACGATCGTCGCGACTTCGATTTCGTGGGAAATACCCATATAGAGGCTCACCTGAGTTGGAATAATCGCGATGAAGATTGAGAACGCGAATTCACTTTTTAAGCTTCGTTTTGGCTGCCATCGCCTTCCTCGGATCTTAAGATCCCTATTAATTATGGAAAATCTTCTTAATTAATTCTTTCTTTTTGCAGTTTTTGTTTGGCGTTCGTGATTTTCTGCCGTCTGATGCCATTATTCGTTGGTTGGCTAAGAAGGTTTGCTCAGATAAAGACTTGGAAACATTCTGCTCCGACATAATTTTTATCATCTGTGGCTTTGATAAGAAGCAGCTGAATGAGGTAAGCAATACTGAGTCAATAAAAAGATAAATCTCATCCGATTGAAGAAATATATAAAGCTATTCCAATTAACGCTAGGCTGATTTCGCAAGCTATAAAGTTATACGAGAAAGAGGTCACGCTTGGTCACCAATGATGGCATTTCATCGCTTGCTTGTCGGGTTGAGTTTTAGCAAGTATGTTCATCATACTGAATTCAAATTCAAATCGTAACACTCTCATTGCGTTATTCTAAGCGCGCTAAGTTTACACATTGTCGCGCGCAAACAGTTTCAAATTTAATATTTTAGTACATGACTGTAAACTGGGTAATAAAGACCCAAATCACAAAGACCTATTTTTTGTGGGACTCATCCCTCGTAGTCCTTTATCCCACAACTATTAATTGACATTATTATAGAAGGGTCTGTAATTTGCAAAATGTGTATGTCCGTTCAACGTTTCTCAGGTGATGTTTTACTGCCCAGCATCCGCCAGCAGCATTATACTCAAAATTTGTAACCTCTAGTTTAAGTTTTTTTTTGTTTGCTTTAATGACAGACTCGACTTCCAATATATTATACACACACGCCAGCTGGAACGTCAGTCAGGAACATGGTTCACTTTGCGCAGGTAAGTTCACTGATTTGAGCTTAACCCTTAAGGTCCCAATATAGCAACAACAATTTTCTCCTAACAATATCCATACACCCTCAAGAGATAAAGTTATGAGAATTAATAAAATGATCATCATAGAGAAACTTCCATGATCTTTTATCAAATTCTCTCAACTAATTCTTAAAGGAGATGTATGGAGATCAGTTTGGAGAATTTGTATGTGGATACTGGTGCTTAAAGGGTTAATGCCTGCCGATCAATCAGCGCCGAGTATCCTAACACGCAATTAGGCACGATTTCTTATGCCATTTTAATCACATCTTTCTCTGTAATTAGATGTACATTTCCAAGAAGTTCCAGATGTATGATTACGGAAGTTCAGAGGAAAACAAGAAGCACTATGGGCAGGTATGCTTTATAAAGACAGGAATAAACCGAAAAGCTCGGTTTCTTCTTCATGAAGTATTAAAAAAGATGTTACTGAGAGCCCATAAAGGTCGAGTAGATCCGAAACACAACGGGTGCTTAAGATTGGTTTACAAGCACTTGGACGTATATTAATCGGTGTAGGAACTTTTAAAATAAATAGCAAGTTTAGGACAATCACCAGATTGGTAATAGGAGATTAATTGGGACTGCTGTGAACCTTGGTGTCGCGAGGTAATGATGAACTTCTCTGAATCATGTGCGGCATTTGTCGTACCCGTAACACATTTTTGTTGCACGTTTGAGTCAAGTTCATCGCCCTTTTACGTGAATTTTCATAACTAAAAGTAACCACGCTCCACAGTGAGAGCAGTATTGAATAGAGTAGACTACAGGAGGCCAAAGTTGTCTCACACTAGCGTTACCTTGCGCGGACAGTTTAAAACCATTTCTAGCCTGCGAGCAAGTTCTCCTATTTGGGCGTGCAAAGCGAGTCTCGCGAGAACGGCCCCTCGCTCGCGCGTTCTCGCGAGGCTCGCCCAAATAGGAGAGCTTGCTAGCAGGCTAAACCTTCTCCGACATTTGTCTCTTTTAATATATTTAGTTTTAAAATGACCAGAAAGTGGCCAGGAAGCCTGCCGCTCGGCTTGCTTCAAACAGAATTCTTTCTCGGGAAAATTTCCATTGACGAATGGGTCATACTGTTCGTCAGGGACCTTGCTTGTACCTGATAAATTACCAAGAGAAGCAGACACATCAAGAACACTGCCTCTTTCTAATTTCTTTCATACCGTTTCTTTCTAGCCCACTCCACCTCAATACAATGCCTCAGACATGACAGTCCCCGTGGCTTTATACTGGGCACAGAATGACTGGCTTGCTGACCCCACAGACGTGAAAGCACTTCTTCCACTGCTACCAAATAAACTTTACAACAACTACATCAAAAATTGGGACCATTTGGACTTCATCTGGGGAATGGACGCTGCTAAAATAGTATATGATGATATAATTAGAAATATTGGGTGGGATTAAATGGATGTGTTTAATCCCGGATTTGAGCCTTAATATATTCAAGAAAACTCGCAAACGCTAAGTGTTCTCTGTATATTTTTAATAAAATAAGAATCAATTCATTATTTCAAAATAATAAGAAGTTATTTTAAAATTAAGATGCGGTGAAATGTGTCCGTTAAGCACAGTCAAAAGAACCTAGTTAAGGATAGAAGCATCATTCTGCTTAATTCGTTTTTTACATGATATACAGTTAATTCCCTTTGTTGCGGACACTGTAGGTACCTTAAGGTAGAGTCCTCATTAGCGAAAGTCCGTAATAGCGGGAGTAAATTTTAGTCAAACGTCTGTAATATGTTTTCGCCGGGAATTTAGCTGCTGTCCGTTTTATTGAGGTGTCCTTTATAGCGGGGTGTGCGCAACGCGAGAGTTGACTGTGGTAAGAAAAGTTTGGGTAACATTGTGCCCGCTTCAGTAAAATAATAATTGGATTCGACTTTAAAATGAAGTTCGTCTAATTAGCCATATTGAGGTGTTGTTTCGAATTGTACCATGGGACTCTTTTTGAGGGACGCTAGCGATTCAAGGTTTTCGATCCAAAGAAAACACAAAGGTGGTAATGGTTTAGTTTGCGTGTCTTTGGCCTTCGATAACCAGTATAGGAAACGACTGTAAATTGATAACATTGATTTTTGGGCTAGCTTTCAACTCGTAATTGTATTGTCAAAAAAAAATATAAAAAGCAATATGCTTTGTTTTCCTTTCGAGAGAATCATGGCCTCAGTGATGTCTTTCTTTTAGAGTTCCTAGTAAGTTTGAAAATAGTTAGTTAATTTAAGCTCTGCTTTTAGCCCAAAATTTGGAACTCAATCGCCCTTACGTTTCTCCGCGATTCTTTTCTGTAATGCATATCATAGCGTGCATGTTTGTTGTGCTGAAATAAAGAAACCTTGAACTACCCCGGAAAAGATAATTTCCCAAACTAAATCTTCGAAAAACCTTCCTCCCCTTATACTCAAATACTGGCGTACTATGAATTCTGTACGTAGTATTGCGCTATGGTTGACGTCAAAATGGCTAGGTGATATTGAGTTGATAATGGCCAATGACAAAAGGACAAAGCCAATGACCTTTATTGGTGGAAAGGCGAGCGTTGCCAGTAACTGACTTATAATATGGCCAAATGTGCGAGCTTTCGCATGGGCATAGTGGACAGTGAAGGGGGTTCTTGTTACTGGTAGCCCAAGAAAACCTGTAGTCCACCATTTCTGCCATAATATTTCGGTATTTGTCACTTGGACCAGAATTTTCTGCCAGGAATTTGTTATTTGCTGGCATTTTCCCTTTAGAAACCTCCTGAACCCTCCGATTATCGTTGTTGAGATAATTTATGCATCCATTTTTAACTGCCTTCTGATCAAATATTTCGTTTGTCAATTTTCGTTTAGTTCCCTTGGCAACATCGTCTTCAGTACTAGTTTGTCCTTGGTTGACATTTATCGAAGGTTTTGCTGCCGATTTTGCTGCTTCCATAATTGTGTCAATGAAGCTTTTTTCTTGGGCTTCCAACCTGTTTTCCGTGACACAGGTTCTTCGATAATCCGTGTTTCCACTGTAGTTTGGATTTGAACTGTTATGGTTGTGTAAGTAGTCTAGATCCTTTGAGGCTGTAGGCCGAGTCAGCACGGCTTTAACTTGGCTTTGAATTTTATTTCTATCAGCAAAAGGTTGGGTTTCTATGGAAACTGTACTATCCTTACGTAACTGGTGGGCTAAATGACCGTGAGATGTTTCCCCAGCCCTTGTGAGCTTATTCGTTGCACCATCTTTTGTTCGTTTTGACTTAACACATGTCATTCTATTATCGCCGGCGTAAGGCTTAGCCTGCTCACTGGTGTTCGCGTTGCATTTTGCTGATTTAATATCATAACAAACAGAAGCTAAATCGAACGTTTGTGTGCCAGCACTAACTATGTTTGCATGACGAGTGCTGGGTTGTGTCTTGAGTTCAAAATTCCTTTGGTGTTGTTGCTCAGAAGTCTCATTCCATCCCTGATTTATGACTGCTTTATTTTTAAAGATGTTCCTGTGATTACTTCTGGTACAGCCCTTGCAGCCCTTCCCTTTACTTTGAGTCTGCGTCATAGGAACATGGGCATTCCAAGGCCTAGTGTTAGTTTGGTCAGCGGTCATTAAAAGTTTACGCTCGCTGTTGATCAATGGGAAAGCAGAATCTGAGCACGCCTCTGAGGAATGAGCTACATCTGTATTTTCAAGTTCACATTTTGTTTCTTTAAAGAAATGTTCCCACTGACATCTCCGCCGGATTTCGGTTTGAATCTCTTGACCTTTCCCTCATTACAAAAATAGCTTACCTCTTTGAGGTTTTCAGTCTTTCTTTTCTTTTGACTGTAAGAAAAACTTAGTTTGAAAGAACAGCGATTCGTCTTTGCCCCGTTCGCTTCTTTTTTGAGGCATTTTATATTGTTATTTCTATTCATTCTTGCTTCTTTTCTTGTGTTGTCCATACAGATGTTCTTCTTGAGACCTTTATCAGGTTTCTCTTTGCACATCTCTTTCCGAGGTTTATTCTCAACACTAAGACACTCTTCTACGCCACCTTTGAGCTTGTGTCCTCTTCAACATCCCCTGACTGCCGGAATGCACTCCTAAGTTCTTTGCCTCCTTTTCCTTGTTACACAAGACGTCGTAAGATAAACCAGGCTCTGCCCAGTGTCTCATAACCAGAGTCTCGTCAGCCGTGTTGATTGATGAACGCTGTTTTTCAAGATATCGATGTATAGCTTTTATCGTCGGTCCCCTCGCCATAACAATGATACTGCATTATGCCGTATGTATTTTCGTGATATTGACGATTCTCTATTGTTTGCTCATCCTCCTGATTTTTATTCATGGA